ATTGCTCTTAAGAGATAAATACTTAATAGGAGAATGTCTATGGTGCAGATTTGGATTAGTCAGTTAATTTGAGTTGCATGTTTTTGGATGGTGGAAGGAAACAGGGAAACCCAGGGGAAGCCCACGTGAGCACTTGGTAAGAACTAGAACAGGGGCGGGCAAACTCTGACCTGGAGGGCCGGTGTCCTGCACAGTTTAGCTCCAACTCCCTGCTGAAAAATCCAGCTTAAACCAGCCTAGGCTAGTTGGCTGGTTTTAGCTGGTTGACCAGCCTGGTTTTAGAGTGGTTTTGGCCATTTCCAGGCTGGTTTCCAGCTTGACCAGCCTGGTTTAAGCTGGATATAGCTGGTTTTGGCTGGACTCCCAGCTTGGCTAGGCTGGTCAAGCTGGTTTTAGCCGGTCATTTCCCAGCCTGACCATCTAAGACCGGGCTGGAAATGGCTGGAAACCAGCCTGGAAGTGGCCAAAACCCCTCTAAAACCAGCCTGGTCGACCAGCTAAAACCAGCCAACCAGCCTAGGCTGGTTTAAGCTGGATTTTTCAGCAGGGCTCTAATCAAACACACCTGCTTATAGATTTCTAGTGATCTTGAAGACACTGATTGGCTTGTTCAGGTGTGTTTGATTAGTGTTTGAGCTAAACTGTGCAGGACATCGGCCCTCCAGGACCGAGTTTGCCCACCCCTGAACTAGAACCAGTGACGTTCTTGCTGTGAAGCAACAATGCTAACCTCCAGGCCACCATGCCTCTTATCTAGTAAAGGTGGAGTAGTAGGGGTGGAAGGGGGATTCTTCAAAACGAAGATAGCTGAGATATAAAATTTTTTATAGTGTCTCTTCTGATTTTATAGGGAATCTTCTGATTGGTGAATCATAAATTGGCTAATGGATGACCAGCTGTGTTCCAGCATAAGCACGTGATCTTTTCTAAATAAGTTTATAAATTAACACTTATGCTGCAGTAACATTGGAGTTTGAGCATGTGATAAGCTGCGGTCACATTAGCGATATTCTGTCATGCAGCCCTGTGAAAAGGGATGGGATTAAACAAGCTTATTAGACATAGGATTGCTCCATGTTTTAAATTTCTGTACATAGAGGTCATGTTTTGATCCTCGATTGGTCTCACGCAGTCAAGTGATGCGATTTCGCAGGTCAGAGTTCACCCAGCTTGAACTTAGCACTGCAGCAAAGAGCATAGAATCACCAAGAGGCGACACTCTTGTGTAATTTGGGAAACAGCCACTAAAGGGCGCGACGGCCATTTTGGAATGAAAACTCCAATAGAAGTACAGCATATTCTAAATCTGTAAAATAAACTATTAAAAGTACTGATGATTGGGATAGTAAGTGTTGTATTGTCATCTTTCAGGTTGTATCTCAGCTTTAATGCACTTTTTAAATAAATAAATAAAAACAAAGCAGCTGCTTGCCATCGCGACAGTAATGAGATCCCATCCGCTTGTTAAGTATGACGTCACGCGAAGCGGCTTCCAGGTCCGCGCTCTATTCAACTGAATGGGGAGACTCATGAAATGGTAATAATAAATGTTTACAAATCGATTTAATACTTTCGAAAATCACGATCGCAGTATATATGTCCATGCTTAATATCCGATGTCAGAAAGTGATTCATTTTTTTTTTAATAGTTAAATTTTTGGTATTTGTTACGCAGCAAGCCCAGATTGTTGTGTACACTATGATTTTATATGAAAATTAACTTTAATGTGTGATAGGAATAAAACGTGATCATAAACGAATGATTTCTCCACTCAAATGAATGGCGGCTTGGACCCGGAAACAGTATTACATACGTCATCACTTAACAAACGGATGGATGGCTGATCACTTTCACTCCAAAATGGCGGAATCCAGGGCTGTTGCTGGGCACTGCTGTTGCAATGCAATGTCGCCTCTCGGCCATTCTAAGCTTTTAGACGGCAGTGACCTGCGAAACTGCAAGACCCTGCATTTCCGGTCTGACGTTTTTGCGTGCGTATGAATGGGAGGAAAGTCTATGGGAGGAAAAGCCCAGTGTGACCGCAGCTAGTGGTAAAAACAAACAAGTTAATTTAATTGCTCTCATCGTTCAGTTGCCCTTCAACAGTGGCTTTATTTAGTCATGTGGTCATTTAGTCAACTGAACATAAATTAACCCTGCTGGCTACTTATGGGTCAAAAATGACCCAGTCGCCATTTTTACAACAGAAAGAAAAACTAAACAATGTTTGTTTTAATCTTAGATTTTGGTGACTTTTTCTAAAATAATTCCAACATTAGATAAAAAATATAATAAAAAATATAATTTTCTATGTTTCTATAATTTTTTATGTTTCTATAATTTTCTAATTTTCATAAAGGCTGTACATATTTAGGGTTGTCCTTTGGGAACATTTGTCCTGGAGATGTGGTTGTTTATTTGTTAAAGACAGATTTAAGGATTGAAATAATATCGCTGCTTTATTTTAAAGGTTAATTGAAAACAGGTCATTTTTGACCCAAAAGGAGAATGGTCTATACAGATTTCTAAGACAACACGAGGTTTTAACCCACTGCCTCAACCATATATTCTGGTGGCTGGTTCACCACAGAAGCTTAGAATTCATACCTGGGAAAAAATGAGATGGGACGCCTCATATAAAAACTACAAAGGTTGTTGCTGTAAGATGTGTTTGTGATGCCAACAGGGGGTGATTGTCCTGTAGTCTGTGCTCAATGCACCAGGATAATAATGGGGTCACTATACAGTAAGATGCACTGTTATTTTGAAAGGGATGTTACATTGAGGTTCCGAGTCTCTTTGGTTCTTAAGAATCCAAAAAGGCACTTCCTGTAAAAGGAGAGAATTGTAGCCTAGCCTCTTAATTATTCAAGTGTTACAAAAATACTTCTGTTAGATATTCAAATGTATCATTGTATTGTACTGAAAGCTTATCATTATTTTTTTTATTATTTGAGTCTGTTCTCTTGCAGGGTGTCACAGTGGTGCTGTGGGTAGCACTATCACATCAAAGATAGAAGCTCGCTGGTTCGAGCTCCGGCCGGGTCAGTTGGCATTTCTGTGTGGAGTTTGCATGTTGTGCCTGTGTTTGTGTGGGTTTCCTCCGGGTGCTCCGGTTTCCCCCACAGTCCAAAGACATGTGGTACAGGTGAATTGAATAAACAAAATTGACCGAAGTGTATGTGTGTGAATGCAAGGTTGTATGGGTTTTTCCCGGTGTTGGGCTGCAGCTGGAAGTGCGTCTACTGCGTAAAACATATGCTGGAAAAGTTCTGCTGTGGCGACCCCTGATAAACAAAGGGAGGAGCCAAAAAGAACATGAATTGGGCTGCATATCAAAACCATTGTGTGTTGTAGAATGATTGCACTAATAGTCTCTATGATGTATATATTTTACAATGTTCATAGTCAAGTCATTTAGGACGCTGTAGTTCTGTTTAGGTAAAAACATTTATTGAAAACTTGTGGAGATAAACTGCTCTCTGGTTACATTTTGCATTCACAGTAAAAATAATGCAGTATTATGAACTGTTGATAAGCTATTTACATTGTTTTCTCAAATCCTGCTCTTTGCATTCGTTGTCAAGTATCTAAACATAAGGTGTCAACAGATATGCAGAATTTTATTTGTTCTGAAAACATCAGTTATTAATAAAAATTAGAACTGTTTGAAAACAGAAATTGCACATAATATCATTCATTCATTTCTTGTCGGCTTAGTCCCTTTATTAATCCGGGGTCGCCACAGCGGAATGAACCACCAACTTATCCAGCAAGTTTTTATACAGTGGATGCCCTTCCAGCCGCAACCCATCTCTGGGAAACATCCACACTCACATTCACACCCACACTCATACACTACGGTCAATTTAGCCTACCCAATTCACCTGTACCACATGTCTTTGGACTGTGGGGGAAACCGGAGCACCCAGAGGAAACCCACGCGAAGGCAGGGAGAACATGCAAACTCCACACAGAAATGCCAACTGAGCCAAGGTTCGAACCTGCGACACAGCGACAGCACTACCTACTGCATCACTGCCTCACCCGCACATAATATCAATCATTTTGATATTATTAGATAGAAATTGCACAGAATAGAAATCCCAATTGCAATAGAAGTTGCATTATAATTTTGCATTATAAATTTAGCTTTATCTAATCATAGCATAAATGTTTTTGGTTTAAGGCCCAGGCAAAAATTTCTCTAGGAGTACTCAGCGGTGTCCTTTAGGATTCTCTGTCCCAATGCACAGGCTTTTGCTTCCGGCCCCCTCAGCCAAAATCACGTTCAGTTGTTTGACAAATCTGGGTTCGCATTCCAATCCTTCCCCCTGTATTGTCTCCATAAGCCTCTGGGCCCCATGGTCTCATTTCCCCACCCCTGATGAAAATGATTTGTTTGCCCTCTGGAGAGCATTTCAAATTAGTGCAGCGTTGCTAAAAATTTTGTCACTAATATCTTGATTTCTTGAGAGTGATGTCCAGTCAGAAAAGTTGAAGTTTGTCAGGATTCACTCACAGATCAAATGTTAGAGTTTCAGTCCAGTACTGAGTTCTGCAGGCTTTCTAACCTCTGTATTATAACACACTGCAGACAAGATGTAAAGAGAGTCACTTACTTCTAAACTGACTGTAACAGAAAAGTGCAAAATTGAATGATCAACTGAAGTGAGTGAGCTAAAGAGGTTAAGCTTTTAAAATTGAAATGCATATTTTTCAGGTTACTACCCTGTAAGAGCAGTTGCACTTTTGACAAATAACAACTGACATTCTGTCTGTGACAATTATTTCACACACATTTTGTGTCAAAGACAAATAAAATCATTTATTTGGTGCTATATAGAATCTGAAAATTCTGATTTTATTTTACATGTTCAAAATAAAAAATCAAATAGACTATACTTTGGTATAATAACTATTCACACACACACACACACACACACACACACACACACACACACACACACACACACACACACACACACACACACACACACACACACACACACACACACACACACACACACACACACACACACATATACACACATACATAAAAAAAAACTATTCCCGGAAAGTTTCACAACTTTCACAAAGCGAGTACCATGATATAATTAACACAACAGATATAAGAGCTTAAAAGGCTGCATGGAATTAAAAATAAATAGAAAAATAAATAAAACATTTTTAACCTATCAAAATATTAAATCTGCTTTGGTGGATTGTTTAAAAATTGCATTGCAGTTAAAGCCCTGTATTAATATGCTCATCTAAGATATCTAACAAGCATCTCATTTAACACAATTCCTCCAGCTAATATAAGCACCATTAACAAAACTGCAAGTCCTCTACGAACAATGAGCTGTTTGGTGGTCAAAACTGCCCCAACTGTGGTCTTTGCACCAGCCTCAGATATTCCTTCCCCTCCTTTACTAAGTCCTTCCAGGTCTGTGTTTGCATCTGTCAGGCCTTCTTCAGTGATCTGAGACTCCTTTGCTGCTTCTGTTTAATAATCAATCACCAAAGAACGTCAGCACTGAACGAAACATAATGAACATGATCATATAGAGCAGCACAGACAGACAGTACCTTCAGTGCAGCCCTTATTTTCCAAACCAAAGGATTCATCTTTGGTCTCAGTGAGTTGAACACCCGCTCTGATCAAAGCCTGAAAATGGGAAGACAAAAACTCTGGTCAATCCAAATCCAAACACAACTATATAGACATGGAAAAGAAACAACATTTTACTTCTTGAGTTGCTTTTTTCCAGTCCAGTTTGTAAATGAGGATGATGAAGAACAAAGACTGTAGGAAGACACAACCGAAAAAGCCAATCCAGAGGCCTAAGAAAAACAAAATGTTGATTAATTTCAACTTTTGTGTCATATTTGTACTCTTCAGACAGTCAATGGAGCGATCAAAACCTTTAAAGTTAAATTAGCTTCTACAATGGCTTAGATAAGTGTAACAATTTTCCAGAAAATGTTTAAGATGTTCGTTTATAACCACAGGAAATACACTAACATTGTAAAACTTCAAGAGTTCACACTTTGCTGATGATTGATAGTAAAGCTAGTTTGGCGTGCTGTCCCGGGAGAGAGCCCTGAGCTTATAAGATCCTCGAGCCCTGGGCTCCCTCCCGCTGCAAGGCGAGAGGGGAGTTTGAGCTCAGGTAGATCTCGATGACTCCCCTTCTTGCTTGTTGTAGCTAAGTGTCGGATATGGATGCTGAAAGGTGTACTCAGAGTTTAGCTAATGTATTTTGATTAATTGTTTAGAGTGCTTGTTTTTGAACTGTGGGAGGAAACCGGAGAACCCGCGGAAAACCCACGCGACCATGGGGAGAACAAGCAAACTCCGCACAGAAATGCATGAGATGAGAAAAGTCTGGATATTTATAGTGAGTTAAGGATCGTCTGATAGGATAATCAGTCATTAACCAAAATTTGGAACAGCTGTGAACAATCATAAGCACGCGATCCTCTCGAAATTTGTTTATGAATAAACTTCACTTAGTTTTGAACAATTCAGATGCACAAACACACACACATATGTTTGTAATGGTGGTTTATAGAGGGCTCTCCAAAGTTGCAACGTATTTTTTACAGTAAAAAAAACACTTACGCTCCATTCACATGGGCGTCAGCTACAATGCTTCCCATTCACTTTGAATGGGTGACGTTCAATGCCGAACTGCATTGTGGATCTGTCTACGCTGCTTGAGAGGCGTTGCTCGCTGCAGAAGTTGGGACTTTCTTAACATTTCAAGCGTTGACAGAAGAGTTAGCCAATCAGATCACTGTATGCAAATACACCAGCTCAGCAGTAGCCGATTGCTGACTAATTTCATTGGCTGACGCTGCTATGATGATCGCGTCAGTCCCAACTTCAGACTCACCCTCTGTCAATTGTTGACGCTGAAGCCTCGTGTGAAAGCCTAAACCCATCCCACACATTAAACCCATGGTAAATGTTGAACGTCAAAAGATACTGTTAATTAAGATTGAGCTTTAACCTCATTACAAACCGCTATTATTGCTGACGATTTTTAATTCTGATGAAACCTAAAATAAATTATTCATTGTCCACAGTGTGTATTGAAGCTCTACAGATCCCGTGGCACAACTGAACGAAATGAAATCAGAACATAGGAACCGAAGGGATTGTTTGGGTTGTAGGGGTTCATATGTTGTCCATTCGATTTGTTAATATGCAGAAAAATTGGATTTAGGTTGAAAGTATAAAGGAGTTTAAACCATCAAAAAATACATTCTCAACTATCTCCAAAAGAAGTTGAAAGCTCAATATGTTTTACACAACATTTGCTTTCAGCTCTTTCCACGCGTGATTAGATTGGCAACACTTCAATTTGTTTGTAATCACCTACCAATTATTCCCATGCTGAGCGCAAACATCAGAGATACTCCAGTCGGGAATCCCACAAAATAATATCCCACAATGTTACAGAGAGCACCAAGCAGCTGTTTTCCGGCACCTCTGACAATGCCACCGGTAATGCCCTACAGACAGAAGAAAAAAACTTACTTTGACTATTGTCCTATTGTCAAGATAAAATTTCAGAATTTCTAAAATGTCTACAAAGTTAAAGTATAACGTAATTTAAACAGACAATGAAATTGGAACATTTCTTCTTTTTATATTACACTTTAAAATAGAGCTGACTATAGTGACTAGTTTGTTTAAAAAAGCAGATACGAATAAAAAAAGGTTAACTGTTCTACATGACAAAGATTGAAATTGCTTGTTTAATTAAATGTTTTAGATCAGCGATTACGCTGATACGTTACAACCAATCACACCATTGTTTTTCTTGTGAAATTCCCAATGAGTTTGATGTGTCAAATGACCCTCTTCCTGTTTAAAAAAAACAAAAATTGGATAAAAGATGGCCAACTTCAAAATGGCCACCATGGTCACCACCCATCTTGAAAAGTTTGCCCCCTCACATATACTAATGTGCCACAAACATGACGTTAATATCACCAACCATTCCCATTTTATTAAGGTGTATCCATATAACTGGCCCACCCTGTACATAAACACCCAAGGGGTCCCAATCCATTACAAAAAATATATATAAACGCAAGGCTGATGTCTTTTTATTTGTTATATTGAATGTAACCTTTTTTTTTCTTCTGTATGTTATGGATAAAATCTGGTTATATATTTAGATTATTAAAATTTACTTGATTTTGGGAAATCACCAAGCGACCCCCCCACCCACCATTATCCCTCAACCCCTCCAACCCCCAGTTTTAAATTATCTCAACAATTTGATTATATGTTATTAAATGAAATACACATTATTTCTGTTTTAAAAGTCACTAAAATAAATTAATTATGAAATGCTAATCTAACATAACAGTATTAATAGTCACAACAGAATAGCCTAAATACAACAAAACTAAACAACAATGGAAAAATAAATGCACATTACGATATACATAAATCCATTTTGCTCACAAAATTTAATGATTTTTTAATGGGAATAATATATAATATACATTATCTTCTGTAGTGCAGAATATAGTTGAATATCTTACCGCTATGGCATCAAACAGATGAAAGAAGCCATACATGATCATGACCTGTGAAACTCTGCTCACTATTTCCCTGTGTGAGAGAGATTATTTAGAGAGAGATTGTAAGAGAGATTTATTAAAGCATAAAGAGTATATAATATTTAAAAGGTGGCTGCTTAATCGTTTTGCAGTATCTCCTATTTAAATGAATACAAGTGACCTTATTGGTATATAGTAATTATAACTAGATTTTAAGTTTGAGGACAAACTTTATGGTGGCTTGAAAAGCCAAGTCTGAATGTTTGAAGTGGTTTTAAAGTGTAAATAGCATGTTAGTATGATTTTAGCTTGAATTACTATGTTACTAGCATGGTTCTAGGATGAATTAGCATGTTTCTAGCATGAATTAGCATGTTGTTAGCATGATTCTAGCATGAATTAGCATGTTACTAGCATGATTCTAGCATGAATTAGCACGTTACTAGCATGATTCTAGGATGAATTAGCATGTTTCTAGCATGAATTAGCATGTTGTTAGCATGATTCTAGCATGAATTAGCATGTTGTTAGCATGATTCTAGCATGAATTAGCATGTTACTAGCATGATTCTAGCATGAATTAGCACAGTGGTCACCAAACTTGTTCCTGGAGGTCGGTGTCCTGCAGATTTTAGCTCCAACCCTAATCAAACACACCTGAACCAGCTAATCAATGTCTTGCTTGGTATACTTGAAACATCCAGGCAGGTGTGTTGAGGCAAGTTGGAGCTAAACCCTGAAGGGACACCGGCCCTCCAGGACTGAGATTGGTGACCCCTGAATTAGCATGTTACTAGCATGATTCTAGCATGAATTAGCATGTTGTTAGCATGATTCTAGCATAAATTAGCATGTTGTTAGCATGATTCTAGTATGAATTAGAAATACACAATGCCCAGTGTAAAGTGTTATATTTTTATTTAACAAACTTGATCGCTAAAAATACTTACTCCTCTGTGGTAAAAATGTATGCAATAACATCTTTGGTACATCCGATTAAGGTGGCAACCACACAGGAAACAAGTACTAGAAAAGAAACAGTAATAAAATGATTGCCATAATTAGAAATGTTATTAGTAAAAGTGTTTTAATGCAAACATACATACTGAATAGTTATTAGATCTGGTAAATGTAGCATAATTCATAGAAAAGATGTAAAAACAGCCACAAACCTCCACAGACTAAAGCTACTTTGGCAGACAGTTTGGCTCGTTCTGTGTTTCCAGCTCCAAGAGCATTTCCCACCCTCACACTGGCGGCCACCGCAAATCCCAGAGGAAACTGAAAGGTCAAGATAATGAAAAACTAAATAACAATATAAAATATTAGTTCTTTTCAACTTAATCAACCTATCCAACTAAAAGATTAAAACATGCCTTTGTGTCACCATAGCAGCAGATTAAATGCAGACGGCTGCTTCTCACTCAGAGCTGTTTATGATAATGAGGGAGAGATTGTCACTAATGGGCGAAGCTTTCCCTCTCTGATGGCATGCACAAAGAAAATAATTTAATCAAAATGTTTCTACAAGCTGTTTTGATGAAGTGTGATTATAAAAGCAGAATTAATTAATTTGAACAATTAGAGCCTGCACATATTCACACACTGTGGCCACACAACTGTGTTTAAACCCCTTCTAAAATTATGCTTGAATCATATGTCCCATTTAAAGTGTAGTTCTTCCATTCTTCGTGGTTTAAGGCAATGTGTTTCCACACAATTTTATAGTAAAGTCAACTATTTGGGTTAAGAGAGTATTTTGAACATGCTTTTCGGTTATTCCTGCGGCTTGATGTAATAATCTCAATTAGAGGGTGGATTAAAGATGTGGTTGCTTAGCAACTGTTGCAGACTTCAAGTTTGACCTTACAAAACCCTCTCTCTCATAAGGATGAATCTGCATCTTCAGTAAAGTGTGTTGTGCAGTTGGATTCCTGTGCATGCTCTTCGGGCAAACATGAAAATAATACAGTAAATAAATGCAATACTTCATTAAGACTTTAGCAAATTGATGTAGAAAAAATAGTGTATATAATCCTTGTTAAGACTATCTATGCATGTTTTGGCCATATTTCATTGGAATCTTAAATTATTCATATTTAAACCCAATTCAAATGACATTGTTGCAAATCTGTTTGACTCTGACATTCAGAAAGTATTCATAGAGCTTCGCTTTTTCGACAATATTTATGATACATGCTTATTCCAAAATAGAATAAATTCATTTATTTTCTCAAAATTCTACACTCAATACCCCATAATGACGATGTGAATAAAAATTTTTTTGAATGTTGCAAATTTATTAAATAAAAAACCTGTACATGTACATCAGTATTCACAGCCTTTGCCCAATACTTTGTTGATGCTCCTTTGGCAGCAATTACAGCCTCAAGTTCTTTGAAAGTGATGCCACAAGCTTGGCACACCTATCTTTGGGCATTTTTGGCCATTCCTCTCTGCAGTACCTTTCAAGCTCTATCAGGTTGGATAGGAAGCGATGATGTACAGCCATTTTCAGATCTCTCTAGAGACGATCAATAGGATTTAGTTCTGGGCTCTGGCTGGGCCACTCAAGGACATTCACCGAGTTGTTGTAAAAACCACTCCATTGATATTTTGGCGGTGTGCTTTGGGTCATTGTCCTGCTGGACAACAGATGAACCGTGGCCCCAGTCTGAGGTCAAGAGCACTCTGAAGCAAGTTTTCATTCAGGATGTCTCTGTACATTGCTGCATTCATCTTCCCTCTATCCTGCCTAGTCTTCCAGTTCCTGCTGCTGAAGAACATCCCCACAGCATGATGCTGCCACCCCCATGCTTCACTGTAGGGATGGTATTAGCCTGGTGGTGAGCGGTTTCTGGTTTTCTCCAAACATAACGCCTGGCATTCACTCTAAAGAGTTTAACTTTAGTCTCATCAGACCACATAATTTTGTCTCTTATGGTCTTGAAGTCTTTGCCTTTTGGCAAATTCCTGGCGGGGACTGGCTTCAGTCTGGTCACTCAACCATACAGGCCTGATTGCTGCACAGATGGTTGTCCTTCTGTATGGTTCTCCTCTCTCCACAGAGGAAAGCTGTAGCTCAGACGGAGTGCCCATCTGGTTATTGATTACCTGGCTAAGGCTCTTCTTCCCCGATCACTCGGCTTAAATGGCCTGGCCAGCTCTAGGAAGTGTCCAGGTGGTTCCAAACATCTTCCACTTACAGATGATGGAGACCACTGTGCTCATTGGAACTTTCAGAGCAGCAGGATTTTTTCTGTAACCTTCCCCAGCCTTGTGCCTCGAGACAATCCTGTCTCGGAGGTCTACAGACAATTCCTTTGTCTCCATTCTTAGTTTGTGCTTTGACATGCACTGTTAACCCTGGGACCTTATATAGACAGGTGTATGCCTTTTCAAATCATGTCAAATCAACTGAATTTACCACAGGTGAACTCCAATTAAGCTGCTGAAACATCTTAAGAATGATCAGTGGAAACATAATGTACCTCAGCTCAATTTAGAGTTTCACGGCAAAGGCTGAAAATACTCATGTACATGTGATTTTTCAGGTTTTTCATTTTTAATAAATTTGCAACAATTTCACAAATTCTTTTTTTCACATTGTGATTATAGGGTATTGTGTGAGGAAGTTTGAGCAAATAAATTAATTTATCAATTTGGATTAAGGCTGTAACATAAAAAATGTGGAAAAAGTAAAGCGCTATGAATACTTTTCGGATGCACTGTAGTTCAACAATTCATACTTTTCCCTAATAACAGTTAAAAAGTTAAGCAAAATTGTATCATTATTTACTCACCCTTTACTTGTTCCATCCCTATTTGACTTTCTTTTTTCTGTTGAACAAAAAAAGAAGATATTTCAAAGAAAGCTGGAAATCACTGACTTCCATAGTATTTGCTTTTTTTTTCCAGTATGGAAGTCAATGGTTACAGGTTTCAGCTTTTTCAATATCTTCTGTGGTGTTCAAAAGGAGAAAGAAGCCTATAAATGTTTGAAACCACTTGAGGGTGAGTAAATTGTCATTTTGGCTGAACTATTCCTTTCAGTTATTTAGTTCATATACTTGAAGAAACATGTATTACAATCTTTATCTTTCATTCCATAAATGTTCATATCTTACTCTCTAGTATTATGGGGGAGCCCAAAAAGGCATAAGGCAACCCTTACAACAAAGCAAAATGACAAGTGATTCTTAAGGTGCAGATGTTATTCACAGCAATGAATTGACATGATTTTTATAATCTGCCATAAAAACCAAAGCAGATATTCCATAAATGCAAATAGCACCACAGGAATACACATAACGATCAATCACAGATCAATGATTTAGATCCTTTGATCAGATTATCAAACAATGGATTTTGGTCTGACAGAGTAAGCATAGCTTCGGTTGCAATGTATGATTTGGTTGCTGCCATCAACCCATGTATCTGTTTTCACCTCCCATGCAGAGGATAACAGAATACTATTTGCTAAAGGAAAAAGATACTTAAAGTAATGTGGGAAAACAGAAATGAAACACGTCTTAGTTCCAGAGTTTTGTCAACAGGGTCTGATTTCAGTTTATCTTTCGTATTTATGTAACAGTAATATCCTGACCCATTGACCAGCAAACAGCTGGCTCTGTTGGGTCTGAGGAGATCCTGAAACCAAAATATGTGTACAGTTTCTTACTTCCCAAGTAACTTATTACACCTACCATATATGCAATGGTGGCCAGTTCATACACAACTGACTGGGCTCCCAGCTCCGTCTCACTGATGAGCCCTACAATCCAGAAGTATCATCAAAATCGTACATTTAAAGGAACAGATGAAGAATTTCTGTTAATTTACTTGATTTTATGAATTCCCAATGACTACATTTTCATCTAAAATATTATTTAATGTTTTACTGAAGAACAAATTTGGACAACCCGTTAGTAAACACATTAACATATGTTCGGTAACACTTTACAATAAGGTTCATTAGTTAATGCATTTACTAACATGAACTAATCATGAACAACACATGTACAGCATTTATTAATCATATTTGAACATTTACTAATGCATTATTAACATTCAAGTCCATGCTTGTTAACATTAGTTAATGCACCATGAGTTAACATGAACTAACAATGAACTACTGTATTTTCATTAACTAACGTGTATTAACATGAATAAATACTGTAGTAAATGTATTGTTCAGTGTTTGTTCATGTTAGTAAATGCATTACTTAATATTAACTAATGAACCTTATTGTAAAGTGTGACCAGTTGTTCAGTTTTTGTGGACTATAATATGCAGTAGTTTGCAAACCTGCCAGGAATCCACCAATCTCATACGTCCACCACTCCACACAAAGCATGAGCATGCTGGGAAGAGCCAAACGGATGAAGGCACCCCATTCTTGCAGACAGTCACGAGACCAGCCTAAAACAACAGAGAGAGAGAGAGAGTGATATGGCAGATGGACATAATGACGATTCCAACACTGACTGTCTAAGAAGAAAGTTTTAAAAGCAGGGTTCCCACTTTAAGTTAATTGTCAAATTTCCCTGAATTTTCCCTGCCTAAAAAAAATTTATAATTTTCATGATATTTTATAAACAGAAAAGATATTGCTGTTATGTTTGTATATTAATACTATAATAATACTAATAATATAATCTGTCAAAATAAGATAATTATTAAAATAGTTTTAGCTTGAATATCGTTTTGGATGACTTTAATGCACAATATGAGAACCACAGCTGAAGATTTTGAAAAAGATCTAAGGTGTTTCCATGCTGTGAAGTGCACCCAACTTTACATTTAGCTTTTTTGTCACCTACTTTTTAACACCCAGTCTTTAAAGCAGTCATTTTGAAGCCAAAGCTCAGAAAATCTATATTATTCTGGCCAGTAATTATTCATTCCATCATTAAAACTGTATTTAAATTACTTGTCTGATTACTTTGTCTAAAAACTAACTAAATTACTCAACAAATATTGATTTTTTATTCAATTCAAAAACATCCATATAAACCTCAATGTATAGACAGTTGAAATTAAACTTTTAATTTTTTAACACAGGAACTTTTAGTTTTATTTAATAAAAAGCAAAACTTAAAACTTAACAAATGTTGAAATGTCATTTCAAAGCAATGACATCATTTAATACATTCTATGTATTCTCAGTCACTTCTTACTCAGTTAATTGTTTCATGAGCATAAGTAAGTAAGTAAAGGTTTATTTATAAAGCACCTTTCATATGCATTAACTCACAAAGCGCTTTACAATAAAAAACAGGTGAAGGAAAACATACCAATAAAAGAAAATATAATAAAGCAAGTTAAAAAATCCAATTACAGAAACACCAAAAATTAAAAGCTTGACCAAAAAGATATGTCTTTAAAGGGTCACAAAACACCAAAACACATTTTTTGAGCTGTTGACAGTCGTATATGTGTCCCACACTGCTAAAAACACTATTAGGTAACCTATATTTCACTAAAAAGTGTAAATTGGTTGTTTTTGCGTTATTTCAAGCAAATTCGTACTTCCGGTTTAAAAAAATTTTGAAGCTGCGTCAAGGCCATGACATAATAGCCTGTAATCCAGCGTGCAAACTGGACGTCTGTACTAGAGTGTGTCTTATTACGTCTTACAGTGTGATGCATTAATGCATGAGCAAAGCTTGGTTCAAACCAATCAGCGCGCTCTATTGAGCAACTTCATTAATATTTATTACTGTCACAGTGTTTAGACGACAGAGACGCCACGTTGTGTTGGCAAAACAAGCGTGAAGTGTTGCTTTTATAGTTTGCTGCAGTTAAGTTTTGTTTTCATTTTCTCTCTGTGAGAGCGCAGCTGGAGTCACGTGTGGATTAACAGTGTACGCGACGCTCGACAACAATAACTAACGTGTCTAAGGGGGATTATTGTTTACCTGAGAGCTGTTCTCATCTGCAAACGCTGAGATCCGGATTCGCTTGTATTCTCCTCTTAATAAAGACGCGGCTCTAGTTGCTGGTGATTGTCCTGTCTCTACAGATTTGGTAAGTGAGCGACCAGTGCTCTTTGTTTATTCAGTTTGTTCGTATCAAACTATTGCACCGAGTGTAAACATGTTAGCACTAAAACCAAACTTTAACCTCGTGTAGGATTTTCACCGCATTTTGTGACCGGAATAACACACGCGGCTTTCTGGCGCTACCTGCCGTGTGCATCTAAGTTTCCGGGAAATGCTGAGTTTGTTTTCTCTCATTCGATGTGCGGTATCAAACATTGCATGAAAATACACGCTTACAGCAGTTCCTCGAATCAAATATTTCGTTTTTAGCAAGGGACATGAATGAATTCCCTGAATGAAAGAGCCAAACTGCAGTTAAAGTCCACCATTTAATAATTTGGCAAATAATTCGACTACAGATGTCCATGTAAACACAGTCACGGTCTTTCTCCTCTGCATCCTTGTTTGTTTTGCCTCTGTGAAAATCAGCCCATGCCCAAACCGACACTCCCATTTTTATGCAAATTTTTACAGACCTTGCTTTTTTCACTCCTGCAACACTCCCCCCTAAACAGAGCCGGACACGCCCAGTTTCCTGACTTTTTCCAAAAAAAATTTGTGAACAAACCCTGCTGAAACAGGGGGGTTTCATGGCTCTTTACAATTACATGATATTCCATGACCCAATGGAATCCTGTAGAATGAACCTGATGACACGTGACTCGTCAGAAGCATTTTAGTGAACTCTCCCCTGGATCATGTTAAGCAGTCACACAGTACACTACGCTTTCTGGTCAAATATTAAAAAGGAAAAGAACATGCTCTGCACAGCACATAAACCTGTTACACATTGCTCCTGCAAGTTATGTAATCATCTTTTCAGTAACTCTGCAATGTGAAAATGTTTTAAATAAACAAATATAATGTAACTGATTAAATTTTTTTTTAATTAATACAGTAACATGTAATGTTTAAGCAGTCTCCATAACTAGATTTATGTATGCAAGAATCATCTCAGTTGCCTTAAAATGAACAGACAGTGTTAATATCTGACTTCTTTTATTTTGATATAATTTTGCATAACCTCTGGATAACGTTCGAGGTTACAGAAGTAACCCTTCGTTCCCCGAGGAGGGGAACGGAAGTGCCATGAATGGGAGGATTCGGATCAGAAGCCGCTTATCTGGAGAGTATTGAACGGGCCAATGAATGAAATTAATTGGCAGCGTAAGCTTGCGCAGGTGTGCGACATCTGCAATCATCTCAGCATATAAGCACACCTGAAGCCAGCAGACGCCATCCTTTTAAGCTGAAGAGACTTTCAAACAGCTAAGGGACAGTCATTATGGCGACGGAATATGGCACTTCCGTTCCCCTCCTCGGGGAACGAAGGGTTACTTCTGTAACCTCGAACGTTCCCCTTCGGTTGGGGAACTTCAGTGCCATGAATGGGAGAATATGGAAAGCGCCATAATGACTGCACCTTACCAACACCCCCGATGAGGAGATAGTCAAGCAAGCGTGACGCACCCACATCATGGGGGGCGCGGTCCTCCAACGTGTCCCTGGCCCTAATTTATCCTACTTCAACAGAAGTTTTACGGATTTAGATATATTTTTTGGGAAGTCGTGAGCATCTAGATAATTCTAGGAAATACGACAGTACGTTGGGAAGCGTGCAATCCCGATAGGGAGGACGCTGCGGAGGCCATCCGTTACCCAAGGGGGGGATAGATGGCAGAATTTACCTATGGACTAGCCCTAAAAAGGGGGAGTACGCATAGCAAAGAGTGGTTAGCGGAGAGGGAAGACACGGGTCCGCCCAGGGGGGGACTTAACCGTGGCGGAATAAGCATATGGGATCGCCTAGTGGGGATCACGCATAGCAGGCACCTATACCCAAAACGCGGGCTGACCAGCGGGCAGACCTACAACGTAGTGGGCCAGCAAGTGACTCCTCCGCTGAGTCAGTGCTGGGGGCCACGGAGGAATCTGCAGGGCTCACCTGACGGGGAACTTTACTGACAGATAAAAAAGGCGCACGTACCTCCGTGTTAGGGAGAATGGCGCAGCAAGCGTGTTTCAACACCCTACCGAGTTGTCTCCTCAATCACCAAAGGGTTACCTAATACCCTTGAGGAAACCGGCTCCACTCGCAGATTGTAAAACCTTGCAAATGTGTTGGGTGTCGCCCAGCCCGCAGCTCTACAGATGTCTGTTAGAGAGGCGCCGCGTGCATGCGCCCAAGAGGATGCAACGCTCCGAGTGGAGTGTGCACGTACTCCCGGGGGACACGGCTGACCTCGACTCGAATAAGCGAGTGAAATGGCATCCACAATCCAGTGGGATAATCTTTGTTTCGATACGGCACTTCCCTGCTGCCGACCGCCATAACAGACAAAGAGCTGCTCAGATGATCTAAAATTCTGAGTACGGTCCACATAAATGCGCAGAGCGCGAACTGGACAAAGTAAAGAAAGGGCTGGGTCTGCCTCCTCCGGGGGCAGCGCTTGCAGGTTCACTACCTGATCTCTAAAGGGGGTGGTAGGAACCTTGGGCACATAACCGGGGCGGGGTCTCAGGATAACGTGAGAGTAATCCGGCCCGAATTCCAGGCACGAGTCACTGACCGAAAATGCCTCCAGGTCCCCGACCCTCTTGATGGAGGCCAACGCAACCAGCAGAGCTGTCTTCAGGGACAGAAATCTTAGAGATACTGATTCGAGTGGCTCAAAGGGATCGGATCGCAGACTCGTGAGAACGAGGGCGAGATCCCAAGAGGGCATGAGAGGGGGGCGAGATGGATTAATTCGCCTAGCACCCCTAAGGAACTGGATGACCAGGTTATGCTTTCCCACGGTGCCGCCAGCTACCGCGCTATGATAAGCGGAGATGGCGGCCACGTAAACCTTGAGAGTGGAGGGCGACAGCCTGCTGTCCAACTTCTCTTGAAGGAAAGAGAGCACAACACTAATCTGGCAATTTCGGGGGTCTTCTCTGCGAGAGACGCACCATTCAGTGAATAGACTCCACTTCAGGGCGTAGGCGCGCCTCGTGGAGGGGGCTCTAGCCTGAGTGATGGTATTAACCACCGCAGTCGGTAGGTTACCTAAGTCTTCCTCGCATCTAGGGACCACACGTGGAGGTTCCAAAGATCGGGGCGAGGGTGCCAGATGGTGCCCTGTCCCTGAGAGAGTAGGTCCTCTCTCAAAGGGATCCGCCAGGGGAGGGCCGTCGCGAGGAGTGAGAGCTCTGATATCCAGGTCCGGTTGGGCCAAAGGGGCGCAACTAGCAGAACCTGTTCCTCGTCCTCCCTGACCTTGCACAGAAACTGCGCGAGCAGGCTCACTGGGGGAAACGCATACTTGCGCATGCCCCGAGGCCAGCTGTGGGCCAGTGCATCCGTGCCGAGAGAGCCCTCGGTCAGGGAAAAAAACAACTGGCAGTGAGCGTTCTCGGGGGAAGCAAACAGATCGATCTGGGCCTCCCCGAATCGCGCCCATATCAGCTGAACAGACTCGGGGTGGAGTCTCCATTCTCCAGGGCGTAACAGCTGTCGTGAGAGCGCATCGGCTGCACGATTGAGCGTGCCTGGGACGTGAATGGCGCGCAGCGATTTCAGCCGCGGGTGACTCCAGAGGAGCAGACGGCGGGCGAGCTGAGACATGCGGCGAGAGCGCATACCCCCCATGCGGTTGATATACGCCGCCGCCGCCGTACTGTCCGTCCTGACCAGCACGTGTTGCCGCTCCAGCACCGGTAAAAAGCGGTGGAGAGCGAGGAACACTGCCAACAGCTCTAGGCGATTGATATGCCAATGCAGCTGGGCACCCTTCCAGAGGCCCGCAGCCGCATGCCCGCGACACACGGCCCCCCAACCCGTGTTGGAAGCGTCTGTTGAAACAACAACATGGCTGGACGCCTGTCCTAGAGGCACACCGGCCTGTAGGAACGAGGGGTCGTTCCAAGGGCTGAGGGCGCGGCGACACAGCGCAGTAACCGAGACCCGGTGTGTGCCCGCGTGCCATGCGCGTCTGGGGACCCGATCGTGAAGCCAGTGCTGAAGTGGTCTCATATGGAGCAACCCGAGCGGCGTGACGGCGGCTGCGGATGCCATATGCCCCAGGAGCCTCTGAAAGAACTTCAGTGGGACCACTAGTTTGCTGTCGAGCTCCCTCAGACAGTTCAGCAACAGGCGAGCGCGTTCCTCGGAGAGGTGCGCTACCATGGTGATCGAGTCCAGCTCCATCCCGAGAAAAGAAATCCTCTGCACGGGGGCGAGTTTGCTCTTTTCTCGGTTGACCTGAAGCCCCAGTAGGCGGAGATGCCGAAGCACCTCGTCCCTGTGCATAATCAATTGCTCCCGCGAGTGGGCTAAAATCAGCCAGTCGTCGAGATAATTGAGTATGCGAATGCCCGCGAGCCGAAGGGGCGCTAGGGCACCCTCCGCGAGTTTGGTGAAGACCCGCGGAGACAGAGAGAGCCCGAAGGGGAGGACCTTGTACTGCCATGCTCGACCCTCGAACGCAAACCGCAGAAATTGGCAGTGGCGTGGAAGAATGGAGACATGGAAATACGCGTCCTTCAGGTCTATGGCTGCAAACCAATCCCGAGGACGAACGCATTGGAGAATGCGCCTCTGCGTGAGCATTCTGAACGGCAGCTTGTGCAGACAGCGGTTCAAAACGCGCAGATCTAGGATTGGCCGTGACCCACCGCTCTTTTTGGGTACGATGAAGTATGGGCTGTAAAACCCACTCTCCATCTCGGCTGGAGGAACCGGCTCGATTGCACCCTTCGCCAGGAGGGCAGCAATCTCCTCTCGCAAGACAGGGGCGGACAGGGGGTTGACCCTGGAGAAATACACGCCCGTAAACTTGGGGGGCCGTTTCGCGAACTGAATCGCGTAACCGAGTCTGATTGTGCGTATGAGCCACCGCGAGGGGCTGGCCCGCGCTAACCAGGCAGGCAGAGCCCTCGCTAATGGAGTCATCGCTACAATCGCTGACGTACCAGCGGTGGGGCAGCGCGGAGTGGGTGTGCTGATCCGGGAAGCACGAGGGTCCCGCGGAAAAGCTGGAGGAGAGCGATTCGCTCTGGCTCCGCACCCTGACTCCGGAGAGGGGGCTGGAGGGCTGAGGGAAAGGAGACCGTCCCCCCAGCGCTCGTGAGCCACTGGCGAAGCACGTAGAGTCTGCGAGCCGGAAGGCAGCGCGTCCCGGACTGGCAGAACTCGTGCAGTCACATCCGGGGAAGGGAAAAAGTGCTCTTTTACTGATGTTTTGGTGGCACTGAAAAGTACCGTTGTTATCGGGGCCCCGCCCTCCAGCGGGGAAAGAGCAAGTTTCCTCTTCTCCGGATGGCCTGTCTCAGGGACGCTTCGCGGTCCGTTTACCGGACTTAACGGCGCCCTGGGCAGGAGGGGCTGCCTGCTTTCGAGGTGAACGCCGCGCCCGCTTGGCCGGAGGCGCAGGCGGGGGCGGGGCAGCACTCGTTGGCGGGCGCCCTCGGCGAGGAACAGCGGAGGTGGATGGCTCGGCGGGCGGAGCGGGCTTACGGCCACGCCGATAGATGACATTGCCCATCGCATCCGACTGCTCTTTCACCGCCTTGAATTCCTGGGTGAATTCACCGACGGTGTCGCCGAACAGGCCAGCCTGGGATATGGGCGAGTCAAGAAAGCGAACTTTGTCAACGTCGCGCATATCGGCCAGGTTTAGCCAGAGGTGGCGTTCCTGAACCACAAGTGTGGACATCGTCCTCCCCAGCGCACACGCGGCGGACTTAGTAGTCCGAAGAGCATAGTCGGTCGCGGTGCGCAGCTCATGTAATAAGCTTGGGTTGGACCCGCCCTCGTGCAGCTCGGCCAGCGCCTGCGCTTGGTAGCGCTGGTAGGTGGCCATCGCGTGCAAAGCAGAAGCAGCCTGGCCCGCAGCCTTATAAGCTCTGGCTCCGAGGGAGGCAGACAACCTACAGGCTTTGGACGGGAGGCGGGGCAAACCCCGCCACGTAGAGGCGCCGCGCGGACAAAGATTGACCGCGATAGCGCGCTCCACTGACGGGATCGCCTCATACCCCCTGGCAGCTCCGCCGTCAAGGGCGGTGAGGGCGGAGGCACTCGCAGCACGGGCAGAGAAAGGTGCCCTCCAGGACTGCGTGAGCCTACTGTGCACTTCCGGGAAGAAGGGGACGAGAGGCTTCGAAGGCTTCGCCTTCTGGTCCTCTACGTAGCACCCATCTAGTCGGTCCGGCCGCGGAGCTGGGGGATAAACCATCTCCAACCCCACGGCCGAAGCAGCCCGGGAAAGCACGGCTAACATGTCCGCTTCAGGATCCGATTTGACAGCGCTCACCTGCCCGGAGGGGGCGAGCGGGTCCGGATCTTCGTCGGACAGTGAAAGCCCACCCTCCGATGCCGCGGAGGACATCTGATCTCCGGTGTCAGCGAGTGTGAGAGCTACAATCTGGTTAGACGGATCACTCTCACCACCCGAAGCTTGGATGGAGCGCCGTGAGGAGCGAGAGGTCCGCGAGCCCGTGGGCGGCGGATTAGCTCCCGCTGAAACCCTCAGATCTGCCCGAGCGCCCGCTGCTTTTTTAGAACAGGAGGCAACTGGGGTGGCTCGCTCTCTTGCGAAAGTTAGCCGCGATCTTAGCTGTGCAACGGTCATGGCATCGCAATGACGACATGAACCGCCCGCGAGCACCGCATTAACATGCTGGACCCCCAAACATGCAATGCAGTGATCGTGTCCATCATCCGGAGACAGGAAACCCCCGCATCCAGAAACGCACAGTCGGAGCGCCATCCTGAAAAGGACGTGCTGCACGACTGTGTTGCTCTTTTAGGAAAGTTGCAACTATACGCACCGCTCTGGAGGACCGGACCCAAAGAACCGCAGGCAAGGGAGTAACCCAGCTCGACCGTCTGCCACCGCGAAGACCCACTCTGGACCGGGAGACACACTCGTTCGCTCTGAAGTGCTGATCAGCAAGAGGAACCCTCATCGACTCACTCAGAAAGGATCTGAAGCGAAAAGGATGGCGTCTGCTGGCTTCAGGTGTGCTTATATGCTGAGATGATTGCAGATGTCGCACACCTGCGCAAGCTTACGCTGCCAATTAATTTCATTCATTGGCCCGTTCAATACTCTCCAGATAAGCGGCTTCTGATCCGAATCCTCCCATTCATGGCACTGAAGTTCCCCAACCGAAGGGGAACTGTTTTTCTACTATCCTTGTATCTTTTAAGTGTAAATCACTTTAGGAACGGGCTATATGCACACAAACTTTTAATTTCAGCCGGCCAGCCTCAGGGCTTCCGGTTAACTGTCTTTCCATTATAAAATTGCCATGCTTAAGGTCTGATTTCTTTAAAAATCAGTTATCTTCACTGACTGATAGATACATGATGTAAAGTGTGTCTCAGACCAAACAAGAAGCACTGCGTTAAATTCTATTTCCCCCCACCATTTCTTTAAAATATGTCAGTTTATTTTACCCCAGCATGTTCAATGGAGCTGCCTTCTGATCCTGACAGCGCAAGCAACCACACAATCTTTCATCTCGTTTTACACTTGAACAATTAAATGAATGCTTGAGTCTATTTAACTGAATGTATTGTAATTACATTACAACATCGATGCTGGAAAAGCATACCATATAAAATTGAAAATAGTCCCATTAAGCTTTCACCGGAGTTTTATAATTGGCTGAAAAACCCTATATGTGCATATAGCCTATTAAGTTTTAAGGTGTTATGTGAAAATAATTTATTATTATTATTATTATTATTATTATTATTATTAAAGAATGCATTTATAAACATTTCTTGAACATCATAAGTTTTTTCAACTTTGTGTTTCAGATCATAAAACATACGGTCTCTTCAAAAAAGGAAATGATAAACACTCACCATCCCAGGTGGCTTTATGCAGGTTTTTCCAGCGGATGTATACATAAAGAAACACAGCCAAGGAATACTGGGAAATGGTGTTTGCTGCAGCAGATCCTCTATTGGTTTAAAAGAAACAGAAAATACCAGTAAGATTAAAGAAATCTGATCTTATATTTACTTTTAAGGATCTAAAAGGTGATGATAAACTAAGATCCCAGGAAACAAGCTAAAACAAATCTAGTCAGCTTCTTACGCCACACCAAGTTCAAGCAGATGAAGGAAGACGTAGTTTATTAAAGCATTGAGGATGTTTCCTGCGGCTCCTGTGATCACCTGAGGCCAGATAATACCCTAAACAAACAATACACATAAAATCACAGTCATATACACCGACGGGTTCATCTAAATTGAGTGAATGTGATTTCAGCAAGTAACTGGATTAAAAGTTAACTTGGAACAATATTAGAGTCATGTAAAATGTACTGGCTATTTTAACTGACTCATAATTTCCCTATTAATCTTTGGTTAGGGTTTTAGGGAAAGAGTAATGCTTTAGTTCTGAACAAGAATGTTGTCCCAGGATCAACAAAACATGCATGCCTGAACTTCACAACTAAAATCACAACAACCAGTATGTTAACTAATGTCGAGTTCAGACTGCATGATTTTAGCCCCGATTTTGACTCAGCGACAGCTTTCAATAAATCGCTGACAAATGCCTGAAATCACAGACAAATCGGTGTTCGTTCTCGCGAGTAACAATCACACAGTATGAACTTTCAAAGACGCAATATGAGAGAATCGCAGATGAGTTGCCAATGATATCTGGAGCTGTCGGCGATTCAAATCAAGCCGTGGGAAAAGAGGTCTGATTGAAAATAACATCAACGATCACCTACAATCAGTCAAGCAGAAAACAGCATTCCTTACTGTGGGCGGTTAGGGGGGAAAGTTTAAAGCACTTATTTTCAATTTATTTGGACCCTAGAAATTGAGGAAAAATACTCGAAATTTGGCAGGAGCAGAGTGTCTGTTTGATGTGGCATCTGAGCAATACACACAACCTTGTCCAACCCAAGCTCATTCTGAAAACGTAGTCCCGCGGACGTTTATGGAGACAGCGGAATACGTCCCGGGGGGTACGTACGGCCGCGTTTATTAACGCTGCGGGGCGGTGTGACACTGTTCCTTCTCGCGCTTTCCTTACCTCCTTGTGGAGGGCTTCCCCGCTGCAACCCGTTTGTCCACTTAGCTCACAGTGAACGTCGGCAGGCTCGAGATGCAGAGAGGAGTCGACCACAGCGACCGGTTTCGAGTCCGGGGAAGAGCAGTTCCAGCAATCAGATAAGACAAAAACAGAATCCCAAAAATTAAGTGAACGAGTTTCGTGACAGGGTGAGAACGCGGCGAAATCCGAAAATGCGGTAGAATAAAAAAAATCAGGGCTTTTATTTTTTTGGACGGCGTATGTGAACCGATTGGCCGGTCGCGCAGTCAATCATTCGGTCAGTCGGACAGCGGCCTCCAGCAGGTTCACGCTCGCGAGAGGCGTCTGAGGTGCGAAAAAGCGTGCAACGGCGGCCTCTCGCGGATTCGCGAAAACAAAAACTGCAGCCGTACGTACCCGCCGGGACGTATTCCGCGGTCTCCAGAAACGTCCGCGGAACTACATTTCCACAATGAGCCTGGGTTGACCTTGTCGAAAAATTAAAAAAAACAGTTTAAGATTAATTTCTCCCTTCAAAGACAGGGTAGCAAAATAAATACATTTTCTACCCCACTAAAGGCTTTCTCACTTTGTAGTTAATAACATGATGTGTATTACGTGACCTCGCATTGTTTTCATTTCTTCTCGCGTGTGTTTGGTTGTGAAAAGTAGTTTGGACAAAGTTGTTGGCAATTTTTCCTATTTTAAAGTCATGCAGTGTGAACCACCTTATCGCCGAGACATCTTGCAGTGTAAACAAAGCATCGACGGAACGCTAGCCCAGATAGTCATGCATTGTGAAAACATCCAGGACTACATCACGACTACTTTGAAAATCATGCAGTCTGAACTCGGCATAAACTTATTCAAGTCAAAATTCTGATATAATTTTCCTAAATCACTTTAATACATGAATTTACACAACTAACAAAATTGTATTTGTTAAAACGGGTAGAAATAGCTTTTTAAAATAATAGTTCATGCAAAAATGAAAATTCTGTTATCATTCACTCAACCTTGACTTCATAAAAGTTCCATAGCAGTTTGAGTTTTTGGTCCCACTTTATATTAAGTGGCCTTAACTAATAGGTACTTACACAGGAATTAATAGTTTGTTACAATGTACTTATTGTATTTACTGTGTTCTTATGCTTGACTAAATACATATATGTAATTACATCTGTAAATAACTTTTGTAACTACATTTGTAAATACACAGTTGACCATCCCTTACACCTTAACCCACCCTTAAACCTACCCATACCACCAAACCTGTCCATAACCCAACCTCTATCCCAACTCAAAAGCACCAAAAGTGTTCTCAAATACATTATAAACACAGTAAGTACATTGTATTTATTTTTTTGATGTAAGTACATAGTAGTTAAGGACACTTAATATAAAGTGGGACTGAGTTTTTTGTTGTGTTTAAACACAAAAGAAGATATTTTAAAGAATGTTGGAAACATGTAACCACTGACCTCCATAGTATTAGTTTATCCTACTATGCATGTTAAAGGTTTAAAACATTCTTTAAAATATCCAATTTTGTGTTTAACAGAACAAAAAAACTTAATATTATGGTTAGAACAGTTCAAGGTTGAGTAATTAATAGCAATTTGGTAGATTTGGTTAACTATCCCATTAATATAACGGCATTTTTAGTGAAGTGTAGCCTATGTACAAACTATATAACAATCGAGTCTGGGTTTACCTGATTTTGAAGATACCGTCCTTGCAGCTGATACATAAAAGCAGCCTGAAAGACATTTATATTTGTTATTTTTACCAAGATATAATGCAACATTTATTTTTATAGTATAAGAGGAATTAACATTTAAAATGTGTCACTCACAGGCAGAGCAGGCATGAAAATTTTCACATACAGCTGTGACAGACTGTTGAGAGAGACAGAAACAAGAGTTCACAAACAGTTAACGAAACTGACATGACTGTAAATTCATGTGACTGTCACACATCCACATTATATGACATCAAGATTGACCTTATTTCACAATACTTGCATCATCTGCTACCACTGTATTATGCTAACAACTGTTTAATCAGCAGACTTAGGAATCTAATGTTGTTGAATGAGAGACCTGGCCACATTGGGACTCTGTCGGACAGCCAGCAGGATGGGCTCTGTGTTGATGAGCAGCGCCCAGCAGGGGAAACAGGCCAGCAGGAGGATGAGAATCCCTCTCTGCAGTATCACACCCACCCGCTTCAGATTATTACTGCCAAACGTCTGCAGGAGACACAATTTGATTGAATGACACTCGAGCACAGCTCACTCTCACATTACTGAACATTGACTATCAGACCTGAGAGATGAGCGTATCGCATGCAGACGCCAGTCCAGAGCCGATGGAGATGCCCGTCACATTGATAACCTGTCAGCAATAAAGATGCGTTTATAAATGTAATAAGTGATTTAATGAAAGACACTATATATAAGTTCACTTGTAAACTCACAGCAATAGCCAGAGCCACACCGGCTAATTCAGTTTTCCCCAAGTGTCCACAAAACACAGTGCTGACAAAGCTGATCAGAAAGATCATCAGCTGAGAGATAAACTGCATTAAAAAGAGAAACACTTTCAGGAACTGATACAGGTACTAGACTTTTGCACTTTTTTAATATTAAAACCACACTACTGTATGTGAATATATGTATATGTCACGTTCCCTATTCTACAACGAATGTGAGAAGCTGACAATTTTTCTGAAGTAATACTTTGTTTTTGTTGTTGATTAACAATATATTAAGATGGATTTTTAGATGAATATTAGATGCAAAATAAAAATCTCTCTATTTATAGTTTTTCTGCCAGGCAATAGTATGAAAAATACTGTCATAAAAACGGAAATGCGAACAAAACATTGAACTAAAATTGCCACCCAATAAATAATATCTGATAGTATCATATACCCATGAAAACATTGTTTCTGATGAACCTCAATTTTAAAGATGTCATCTCTAAAAATTAATGTCAACTGACCATTTTATCTGATAAGGTGCAGTCATTCGAATTACTTCTAGTTCTATGCAATAGTCATATTGTTTTTAGTTAAATATCGACATTAAAAATAACCAAGATAAACGAATGCTTTAGAAAGATGTCACTAATGTAGTTAACTAATTTCAACAAATCTGACCTTCGGGTGTATGCTTCATTATTAACATTGTAAAACGGCACTGAAGTTAAATAAATACTTATATTAGTTAGTTAATACGTTTAAATAACTTTAAACTGGAATAGCTTTTATAAAAATGCACTATTCATGTACTTACCACTGGTCCAGCCAGTTTTAAGAGCTCTACAATTTCTGTTTTATAATTGACTGGTAACAAACTCCGGAGTTTCTTGCGACATCCTCCACAAAACTTCTGTGTACTTGACGTTGACAGAACATCGTCACATTTCTCCTGTTTCGTGTCTCCATTCATCTGAGTTACGTTGTAACTGGTAATACTGTCCATTTTCGTTATGTATACAGTTTTCAATTTCCACAAAGCAGCTTATAGTTGGTCACAGAACAGCAGAGCATCTGCACGAAATGAACTGCGTTCAATGATGTGTTAAACGTTCATTGCAGAAGGACGTCTGGGAAGATGTCATAGAGGAGATACTTAATAGAGTGTGGTAGTAAGTTTAGCCCTGCCTGCTTCTGCTCAACTCCACGAGGTTATTACATAAACAGACTCACTGTGTGCTCGGGTCAGGTTTCATTAAAGGGACCCCGACATTCAAAGACAAAGGTCAATAGAATTAACAGAGTGGATTTTAAAATGTGCTGTAAAACATTGTTATTATTATACAATCACTGTAGTGAATCATTCATGGCAGGTTTAGCCTTTAAAATAACTATGATGATTCAATTGTGCTTTCATCCCTTATTTTCCAACCACTGACAACTATGTCAAAAGAGTGTATTAGAGAATCATTATTTAGGAATTCCTTAATATAATCAAAATCAACAGCCTGAGGTATTAAGACGTTTGAGCTGAAAATGATACATTACAAACCGGGAGAGGGCAGACTGTTTAGCAGGATAGAGTTGCTTCTCATACTTCACCCTCCACAACAAAGTTCCTAAAAAGCAATGAAGGTCCAGGTGGTCCAGGATTGGCCAGCCCAGTCACCTGATATAAACATTATTGAGCATGCATCTCTGGGGAAAGATGGAGTAGGCATTCAAGATAAATCCAAAGAATTGTAATGAACTCTGGGAGTCCTGCAAGAACGCTTTCTTTGCCATTCCAGATGACTTTATTAATAAGTGATTTAGGTCATTGCAGAGATTTATGGATGCAGTCCTCCAAGCTTATGGGAGTCATACACAATATTCATTCAATCACTGCACCATGACTTTATATTCGATATACTGTAAATTATTTCTGTTAAGTAACAAGACTTTTGTCTAAGCAAAGTCAGACCTTACTGTCCTAATTAAATAATTAAAAATGATGGCATGATCATATTGTATTTTGGTAAAGTTACCTCTGGTGCCAAATGAACAATAAGAAGTCAAGTTATTATTTGTTTTTACTAAAACCCAAGGTGACAAGAGCTCTGTCAGGTAGTGTACAGACAAGAGTAGCAAACAATGAGATAATAAAAATAATAAAGAACGTTTTGACACATCTCACTGTCCAGCAAACAGCTGCTCTTGATTATGTTTGTACAGTAAAGATATAATAAAAGCAGTGTAGTTGATTGTTTTCTGTAGTGAAAGACATGAAAACAGCTATCTGTGGGGGGAAAAATCCCTGGATAAAGTATTATATATCTATTGCTGCCTATATTTGAAATAACAAAACAAATGCATAAAATGCAACCAAACTAATCACAATAAGATATTAATATATTTCAATTAAATGTACTCAAAATAATCAAACTGTGTTATTTTCCACCATTAAGCACAATGCATGACCATGCTAAAATTAATAAAACCCATTCCTGCAGACCAGCCTAATGATGTGCTAGAGAGAATAACAGTTACTTTAACAAACCCTGCTAAAAGCACTATTTGGCTAGTCATGTAGTATGAACATCCATAATATCTTTATATAGCCAACAGTGAAAACCAGTTCTCAAGGTATTTTAATTATTTATCTAACCAAACAAAACAAAGTGAGAAATAATAAAACAATGAAATAAATACATTCTACACAATTTAATTTTCCCATCTAAGATGAATGTAGCCTACAGATTTCAAAACAATCTAACAGATCTATAGGGACATAAAAAAGTCAATCTCTCATGACTCATCAGAAGCCAGAATCTTGAAATCATCTTAAAGAGTAACACAGTAAACCACCGTCCGGTCAAATATTTAAAAAAAGGCAAATCATACTGAGACACGAAGCTGTTACATACTGTACTCTTCCTGGGCCACTTAGACTTTGCTGACGTGGTAAAATGTTGCAAAATAGTAAATAATTAAGTCCAGAAGTAAATAAATAGGGAAATAACGTAGATGAAAGTCTGCTTCATTATGTAATTTTTTGTCTCGGTTTAATTTATAGTGAAAGCTGAAAACTTTCTCAAAATTACTGATTGTTAGACTTGGATACCCTTTTTTGTGGATGACTTATAGCAGGGGTCACCAATCTTGGTCCAGGAGGGCCGGTGTCCCTGCAGGGTTGTTGTCCCTGTCTGTGGTTTTCAAGTACCTTGATTAGCTTGTTCAGGTGTGTTTGATTAGGGTTGGAGCTAAAATCTGCAGGACACCGGCCCTCTAGGATCAAGTTTGGTGACCCCTGACTTATAGCATTAAACCTTGTCCTTGCTTACATTAGATGGAAAAAAAACTCCAAAACCTCGTTTTCTCTTCGGCTGAAATGTACATGTTGGATGTCTTAAAAAAATTATTTCTTTCTATTTTGGTTGTTCAGTTTAGTTCATTGAAGTCATTTTGTTCACCCAAAAATTACAATTCTGTCATTAATTACTTACACTCATGTCATTCCAAACCACCAAGACCTTCATTCATCTTCAGCAAACAAATGGAGATATTTTAGATGAAATATGAAAGCTTTTTGACCCTCCGAACAGTGGCGATATTACTTGTATCATTATAATACAGCAATACTCTTGTGCACACAAAAACAACAATATATTTAAGTTTACTTCTCCTCAGTGTACCCAATACTGACAACGAAGAGAAAAAACTGTGGAATAAAATTTTTTATATGTGTTTGTGCATAAAAGTAATCTCACAGCTTCATAAGATTACAATTGAACGACTGAAGACACATTGGCTGTTTTTGGTACCTTTCTGGACTTCTGGCTGATTATGGAAGGCCAGTGAGCTCTCGCATTTCATCAAAAAAGTATCTGCTTCATTTGTGTGCTGATCAAACAAAATCTTTGGGTTTTGGAACATCATGTGGATGAGCAATTACAGTTTTTCTCAGTCGCTTTGGTGCATTTCTCACTACACTATTTACATTTGCACAACAGTTAATGCATTTCTCAAAACAATTAGTCATTTGTGCACATCCTAGTAGCAGTTTCTTATTCTTTTCAACAAATTGTGAATGCTTTTGGCCAAGCATCAATTGCTTTCATTCAACTCTCTGCTATTTATAACATTATCATTTGCTTCTGTCATGTCAGTCAAAATGAATTAAACTTGTAAATGCTGAATAGTCATTCTATATAAAACTAATAGTCCTCATTTCATTAATTGAGTCATTACATACAAAATAGTGAACTAGTTGTCAAAATCTGTCAAACAAATTTTATAAAACAAATTTAAATCTTTATTTCCCTGAAAATGTCGTTAAAATTGAACAATTTGATGAATGATTTACAGACCTGTGTGTGTTGCAGGTTCAGGTCCAATATGTACTGTATTATATTGTGTACAGTTGTGCACAGCTCTACCTAAAGGGAGTTTATGTTTGTTGTAAATAAGGGTGTATTTATTCTTTTGCATAATGCTGTGAATAAATTAGAATTGCAAAGAGCAAATGCAGTAAAAATGTGAAACATACATATTTAGTGTCTTGTACTCAGATAAATCACTCAATGAAGTGATGTCTCACTTTACTGTAGTTTTCAAATGGCTGTGCAAATATTCTATAGTGCTGTCTTGAGGATTTTCAGGAAGTGTCACCAAAATTAGACTTTTTTTGCATTGAAAAAATGTACAGATTAAACTGTCATAATGAAAACATGACTAAGCCATTTGACTATATTGTTCATAAACAATGGTGTCAGGACTTTTCATGTTGACGATACTGACAGTTTGATTGACATGAATACTTGCTTTTGAGAAATGAACTATCCATTTTGAGCATGTGACACGCTTTTGCAGGTAATCAGCTAGGTTTTGCAGTTTGCACTAATTGTTTTGAGAAATGCATTAACTGTTATGCACCAAAGCGACTGAGAAAAACTGTAATGACAAGACACTAACTAAAGCCTGTTACATAAAACCGGTTTGGGTCTTTGCTTTGGTAAGTTCACATTTATTTTGATTTTGGTTTTAGTTCGATGGTTTTAATTAGGATTTGTGACCATGGTATCTTACGCTTCACGACTAACCTGGTTGGAGATCACAAACCCAATTTGGACCAATCAGGTTTGAGTAAAATGACATATCTGATGCAATAAAACCCCTCCCAGACCCTGATTTGTTACAAAATATAGTAACTTTTGAGTCAAATAGTCTTTAAGTGCTAATAATTTCCATATATTAAATGAATTATGATTATTTATAGTGATATTATATTTGAATATTATATTATCTTGAATTGCTAATCATTTATTTATATTATATGAATATAAATATTTATATTTGTATTATTTTTGAATATTATATAGTCTTGAAATGTCAGTTATCAATAAGGATTTTAAATGTACAATATTCACATATAAATATGCTTTAATATATAAAGCTTTTAATACCATTCAAGTTTGAGGATTATTATTCTCTACATTATTAAAATCAAATGATTATTTATTATAAATGTTTATTTTTGTAGATTTGTGTGTAGGTTGTAAATATGTGTTTGATATTGATGTATTTTAATCTTCAACAGAAGTGAATTATGTTTACTCTCTCGTGAGAAATGGCGCAAACTGACCCACTCATGTATTCTATGATTGGCTGTTTGCAGTTCTCACACTTTTAGCTAATTACATCCAGAGTTAACCACAAACTGTGAGTTATTAAACCCTGAGTTGACAGTTAAGTTAAATATCAAGCATTGTAAAACAACTTAACCTGTAAAACAAACTTAACCCTAACCAGGTTGGATTCGTTTGGTTTTGTCAAACCCTCTGCAACCAGTAATTTTGTGCAACAGGCCTCTAATGGTTGTGTAAATATGGTGTGCTCTTTTCCATCTCAATAACTAAAAAAACAAAATAAATAAATAAATAAACAGTGAAAAGAAAGCATCTGATCATATTAATATGTTTGCAAAAGCTGTGCTATTCGCTCATAATGTTCAGACGAGGTCATTAAAATGCCACTATGATAATTTTATAGATCTGGTTATGTAAGACTGAGCTGAAGTTTTTATTAAATAACAGTTGAAAAGTGTGAGAGCGAAGTGTAATAGTTGATTTAGACATTCTTAAAGTTGCTTGTGCCAAAAACCAACAATAAACAACAAACTAGTGTCTCAGAATATGAGTCAAACATAAGCTAAAGAGCTACTTACGCCACACCAAAATCTGTTGACGCATGAAAGCGGCCTATGGTCAATGCTAAAAAGAAACAAACTTGAACCTGAAAAAGTGTGTGATGAGAAACAGCAGCTTTAACCCGTGTCTGTTTTACAGTATTTTTAATATAATTTAAATAAAGTAATTTTACCCTTTCATTTTGATTTGTTCTCTTCATTTTACTTAGAAACTAGGTAAACAATACGTGTTCATTAAATGAATCTGGCAAATGAACCACACATCACTTACTCAAATCTTGCCCTTTGATTTCATGTTCTATAATGTCCAAGCACACAAAATAAGTCTTTGGATGTCATTCAAATAATACTTTTATTTTGAAAATAAATATTTTAGCAGCATATCTAAAACTCAAACAAATCCAGGGAAAAAACAATATATATACACATATTATATATATATATATATATATATATATATATATATACACACACACACACACACACACACACACACACATATATATGTATATATACATATATATATATATATATATATATATATATATATATATATATATGTATATATATATATACAATTATTTTATATATAAATTATTTAAAAGAAGCTAACAACACAAAAAGCACACAGTTTTGTTTTTTTATTTACATTTCTAATTTATCACGTTTATTTATTTAGTGTGCAGTAAACTAGTACATATTGCATATTAAAAAAAAATCTCACAGCATTAACATTTTCAGTGCAGACAAAGTTCTGTAGGCTCAAATAACAAATCTAATCAGCACCTCATTTAACACAATTCCTCCAGTTAATATGAGCAGCATGAAGAAAAATGCAAGTCCTCGACGAACAGCAAGCTGTTTGGCGGTCAAGACCTCTCCAACTGTGACCAATGCAACAGCATCTGTTATTCCTCCCTCTCCTTTACTGAGTCCTTCCAGGTCTGTGTTTGTATCTGTCTGGCCTTCTTCAGTGTTCTCCTGTGCTGCTTCTGTATTCGGTCAACAATGAAAGTCAGTACTGAAAGACACTTAATAAACATCATCATATAGAGCATCACAATACCTTCAGTGCAGCCCTTATTTTCCAAACCAAAGGATTCGTATTTGATCTCGGTGAGTTGAACACCCGCTCTGATCAAAGCCTGAAAATGGGAAGACGAAAACTCTAGTCATCATCTCTAAAAACAGACTGCAGAAATGTAGATGAAACAATAGCTCACCTCTTGAGTTGCTTTTTTCCAGTCTAGTCTGTAAATGAGAATAATGAAGAACAACGACTGTAGGAAGACACATGTAAAAAACCCAATCCAGAGGCCTAACGATTGAGACAAGAGGAGATTGATGGACAGGTTTCAGTGCTAGATCAAGCAGTTGCATCACTACAGCCTCAGAACAGACTGTCTACTACTATAGAAAGCCATTTTCACATTAAATCTATGACATAATACTACAAATCTATGACACCCTCAAATCAGAATTAGTCATGACAGTAAAACGCAAAAAAAAAAATAAATAAGAAAAAAAAAATAAGATAGCGATTTCAAAACGTACTTCCACTTGTATTTTGTTGCAGACCATATGAACACAAAAGTTTTCATGTTTTGTCTGGTCAATTACATTTCTTTTGTAAATATAGACATACAGTTTAAGTCAGAATTATTAGCCCCCCCCCCTGTTCATTTTTTCCCCAATTTCTTTTTAACGGAGTAAAGATTTTTGTTCAACACATTTCTAAATATAATGGTTTTAATAACTCATTTCTAGTAACTGATTTCTTTTATCTTTGTTATGATGACAGTGAATAATATTTCCTTGATATTTTTCAAAACACTACTCTACAGCTTAAAGTGACATTTAAAGGCTTAATTAGGTTAATTAGGTTAACTTGGCAGGTTAGGGCAATTAGGCAAACTATTGTATATCGATAGTTTGTTCTGTACACTATCGAAAAAATATAGCTTGAAGGGGCTAATAATTGTGACCTTAAAATGCGTTTTAAAAAATGTAAAACTCATTTAATTCTAGCCGAAATAAAGACCAATAAGACTTTCTCCAGAGCAAAAAATATTATCAGACATACTGTGAAAATTTCCTTGCTCTTTTAGACATAATTTGGGAAATATTTAAAGAAGGAAAACAATCAAAGGGGGGCTAATAATTCTATAACAATCTTTCCTGTCATTCAGACCTGCAACACATTCCAAAAAAATAAAAAAATAAAAAAATAAAAGTTGGGACAGAAGAAATTTGGGGATAGTATTCAGGTAAATTGGTAAAATAATGATGTAATATGAAACAGGGGATGTCAACAGGTGATGGTTTCCCAACAAATATACTGGAGAAACTACTGAAATGTTTAAAAGCAATGCTCCACGAAGAAAGATAGAAAGTACGTTTAACAGTGCATCATTAAAAGATTCAAGGAATCTGGAGGAATTTCAGTGTGTAAAGGAACAGGACACAAGCCTAAGCTGAACAACAGTGATCTCTAATCCTTCAGGCAGTACTACATAAAAAAAAAAAATCTGATTTTTTGCTTGTATGTGACACAGATCGGATCTGTTCAATGACCGTGTAAACACGAAAAAAAAAAAAAAACCCGCATGCATTCGGATATTCAGAGATTGGTTTCAGGCGTCCTTCATATGTGGAAATAAATCAGATATAGATCGGTTATGTGACAATGCGACTGTCATGTAAACAGACAGATAGGATATATTGAGGCATTTCATGTGGCTTCACATAGAACAACTTTATTCTCTACACTACCAGCACTGCGCACACAGGCAAAAGCTATATCTTCAACTACACACACACACACACACACACACACACACACACACACACACACACACACACACACACACACACACACACACACACACACACACACACACACACACACACACACACATTAGGGCCGTACCATTGCATAAATTGCGTAGGGGTTAATCTGGACTAAACCATTCACTGCTTTTACTACACTTCGCATATTTCGCAGGGCTAAAAACAAGACAATTTCTTCCATCGTGGCTAGTCCCAGATAGCAGGTAGTAATCGGCCCGAGCTCGAGCATCAGCGACTGTTATCCAGGCCGAGTATGGTCCGCAGCTCGCCATATCAGGCCCGAGTCTGTGTGTAGAGTCCGGGTCGCTTCTGGCAAGGACTTGGCTTGTTTAACTGATGAAAACCGATTAAATTCTTCTTTTATCAAGTAATTCGTTAGCTACACGTTTAATGACAATTCGAGAAAATATCCATGGCGCGACAGCAACAAAATAACAAGAATATTTTGTGTGTATAGTTAGACACAAACAAATCAATATTATTTATAAATGGATTATACATATCATCATGGCACAGATGCTAGAATCCGCCTTTATGCATGCGCGACATCGTAAATTGTATGGCAAGTTTAAACGCATGAATTGGATATGGGTCACAATTAAAACAACGTGTAAACAGACAGGCAAACAAATCAGATATAGGCAACACATCGGAATTGGGCATCAAGACCTGACAGTGTAAACGGGGCCTGAGTCTTCCATAATACACACACTTATTAATGATTCCTGCTTGTCTTCCTCGTGGTGAAGAGTAGGCAAAATCTGATATGTAGTGAGGGGAAAAAAAGAAGAGCGTGTTCATCAGATGCTGAATTCGAACCGGTTTATGATCGATCACGTCAAAACATGTTGCCATATGCTTTACGTCTCTGTCAATCAAACAGTGATAGTCGGGAATCACTTAACTAGCTTATTCCAACGAGGAGCGCTATTTGCACTTAGCCTAAATAGACACTACAAAATCGTGCCCATAATGCCCATTGGTTAATCTGGCCCTGCCAAGAAGGACCAGCACTCCAAATGTGGAAGCAAATGAGCAATCAAACTCTGAAATGAATAACATAATACATTTTCAGTGGATTAACTTGCTTGGATTACTTATTCAGCTAAAGAATAACAATGCACGCTAGCAAAATTAACACTGTAAATTTTTGATTCGACTCAGACTATACAACATTGCTATAGACATGTTGGACACCATGCATTCATTAATTTATTCATTCATTTTCTTGTCGGCTTATTCCCTTTATTTATCTGGGGTTGCCACAGCGGAATGAACCGCCTGGACAACATGCAATCACAAATAAAAGCTTTTATGTGGTTTAAATTATATGGTTTTCATTTTTAAATTAAGTGTCATTTTTACAGTAAACACAAACCATTAGATCCTATGTAAAATGAAGAAAGCTTAAAGGCAGTGCTTTTTGCTATCATCTTACACTTATGAAGTGCATCACAACAAGAATGCTTAACGATGCCATTATTTTTTATCGTTGTTGTTCATTTCCATGTCATTTAATTTTGTTTATTTTATATAATGAATGTATTGTTACTTTTACAGGATAACTTAAGGTAAATTTAGGCAAGAATGTTGTGTTGATTAGGTTGGTATTGTCTGCACGTAAAAATAACCCCTTAAAATACTTTCAAGGGTTAAAAACAGCTATTAATGGATTAAAACTCTTTCCTGAGGTGTTTTGTTCATATTATGCGACAATCTTGTAATGTTATTTTGTTTATATTTGTTTGTTTATGCTTTCAGCCTAAAAAAAACTTGAATGAAAATTTATAATAAAAAAAAAAATTATTAAAAAGAAATGCTTGTATATATTAACACTTACTAGTGTCCGATGAGTGATACTTTGTTGACTAGTATCTCTACTCAACTCAATTTATTTCTAGAGAACTTTCAACCAACCACAATAGGTACCAAAGTGCTGTACATAAAAACACACAATGCATGCAAACATACAAGGAAATAAAGTATATAAACTTACAACATATGGTTAAAAGCTAAGGAAAATAAGTTTGTTTTCAATGACCTCTGAAAAGGTTAAAAATTTATAGATGTTATTAATGAGATCGTTCCAAAGTCTTAGAGCTGCTACTGAAAATATCTAAACAATTATCATTAGAAAAAATTTAGAACTGCTAAATAATATGTACTAGCCACAATTTCTCATATAGCTGATATCTCAGATTCCCATAGAAGCTTTTATTACTTCTGTAACAATAGAATTGTCACTTCTGAAATAAATACTAATATGAACATATGCTTTTGTATAATTTTGCAGTCATAGCCTGAAAAAAGATACAATAGAAAATAAATGTTAAAACAGTTTGCTGAATTACAATACAAAATAGCGTTTTGAATCGAACATAATCTCTTGGCAATTCGTAACTTTTTGATCTAGTGGTTAATTCGTATGAATTTAAATGTTTTGATTCGTACAGTTTAGTACGATTTGCTCAACTCCCAATGACAGTTGGGTTAAGGGGTGGGGTTACATGCCACACCTCCTTTTTAAAATCTTACATTTCTGTACAAATGAACTCGTAAAAATTTGCCACTAAACCGACAAAATGTAAAATAGTTACGTTTCCTCATGAGATAAAAAATTAATAGAAATTAAAGGTAATGCATATTATTTTCACTGTTTGAAAACATAGCTTTAATGTAGTGTCAATATCTTACCAACTATGCCCATGTTGAAAGCAAACATCAGAGACACTCCAATAGGGAATCCCACACAATAGTATCCCACCATGTTACAGAGAGCACCAATCTGTTGTTTTCCAGCACCTCTGACAATGCCACCTGTAATAGCCTACAATAAAAAACACATTTCAATTATTATCAAATGTAAATATGTCTAAATGATGTAAATAGCAGATCTCTTGACACAAGTTTTTTTTTTTAAATCCATATATATCTAAGAAAAAGGCTTAAAAATGAATGATCTTACCGAAGTAGCATCAAACAGATGAACAAATCCATACATAACCATGACCTGCGAAACTCTGAGGACAATATCCCTTCAATAAAAAAAGTTATGGAGCCAGATTATAAGGATATTCTCAATCATTTTATCCTCATTTAGCAAAGAAAAAAAAGAGAGTCACTTTTAAAATTCTGTTGAACACAAAATGAGATATTTTGACATTTTTGGGTGAACCATCCCTTTAAATGTTGCTTTTCAAATTAAGAAGGCTTGTGAGATATTAGTTAAGATTATGCTAAAAGCAACGTACTCATCTTTACTGAAGATGTATCCAATAATGTTGTTAGTTCCAGCAATTACGACTGCAATCACACTGGAGACAAGCACTACAGCAGAGGAGAAAAGAATCAGCTATTGAAAGAAAACAAATTTATAACATTGCACATACACAAAAAAGTAGATTTATTTATTGTCTTCTTTCAAATCCATTCTTCAAATCTAAAATTAAACAATGTAAATAAAATAAACATTCAAAAGTGAAAGCAAGATTATTTTGGTTATCCCGTTGGCAGATTTTTTTTTGTGCTTGTTTCAAGTAAAAAACTCACATATTTTTGCTTGTCTAGAAAATCTTTTTGATTTAAGAGTTAGATATTTGGACAAAAAAAAAAAAAACATATATATATATATATATATTGTTTTTTTTTGCTTCTATGGGGATCTGAGATATCAGCTATATGAGAAATTGTGGCTAGTACATATTATTTAGCAGTTCTTCATTTTTTTCTAATGATAATTGTTTAGATATTTTCAGTAGCAGCTCTAAGACTTTGGAACGATCTCATTAATAACATCTATAAATTTTTAACCTTTTCAGAGGTCATTGAAAACAAACTTATTTTCCTTCGCTTTTAACCATATGTTGCAAGTTTATATACTTTATTTCCTTGTATGTTTGCATGCATTGTGTGTTTTTATGTACAGCACTTTGGTACCTATTGTGGTTGGTTGAAAGTTCTCTAGAAATAAATTGAGTTGAGTTGAGATACTAGTCAACAAAGTATCACTCATCGGACACTAGTAAGTGTTAATATATACAAGCATTTCTTTTTAATAATTTTTTTTTTAATTTTTAATTTTCATTCAAGTTTTTTTTAGGCTGAAAGCATAAACAAACAAATATAAACAAAATAACATTACAAGATTGTCGCATAATATGAACAAAACACCTCAGGAAAGAGATTTAATCCATTAATTTTTTTTTTGTCCAAATATCTAACTCTTAAATCAAAAATATATATATTTAAAGATGATTCACTGAATTTACTAAGATAAGTGGGTAGGTGTACACAATTTATTTTGTCTGAAATTAAACAAACTAATTAAGTTGAGCTTTACTAAATTTAATTTGTTTGTTTAAATTCACCCATTTAAATAGTTTAATTTTAAAAACAATTGTGGAAACAAGACAAAAACTAAGTAAAAAAAAAAAAAAATTTTATTTATTTATTTATTTATTTTTATTTAGCAGTGTGGCTTGATATCTTTCACATGGTTTCCCACCAAAATGAGACATATTCAGGATAAGTTAAAGCTGTAGAAATAAGTACATACGTCCACAGACTAAAGACACTTTGGCAGACAGTTTGGCTTGTTCTGTGTTTCCAGCTCCAAGAGCATTTCCTACCCTCACACCGGCTGCCACCGCAAAACCCAGAGGAAACTAAACGAAAAACACAGAAAAATAGCTTGGTGAGTTCTGAACATAAACTAGTCCACTATTTGACTAATTGACAGTCATTTAAAAATCAAAAAGTCTCTCAGTTTGCCCAGATTACTAATCACACACTGCAAATAATACAAAAAGTTCAAAAGTTTTTTTCTGCTTGCTACTTGTTTAAAGTACGTGGAAATAACAAAAGACTTGTAATTACTTTGAACGATTTATTTGTTTTATGTTAAAATTTTGGCAGCATTGTGGCACAGTGGGTAGCACAATCGCCTCACAGCAAGAAGGTCGCTGGTTCCAGCCCCGGCTCGGTCAGTTGGCGTTTCTGTGTGAAGTTTGTATGTTCTCCCCGTGTTTCCGTGGGTTTCCTCCGGGTGCTCCGGTTTCTCCCACAAGTCCAAAGACATGCGCTGTAGGTGAATTGGGTAAATCAAATTGTCTAGTGCAGTGTTTTTTAACTGGTGGGTCGCGACCTTAAAGTGGGTCGTGGGAACATTTTCAGTGGGTCGCGGAGTGTGTGGTCAAAAAAACAACAAAAGTTTAATTTAAATTATTTTGCTTATACTGGACTTTTATTTTGAAATGCATGTGCGACAACCCTACCGTTTGGCATGTGAAATTTCATTTAATTTTTGCAACAAATATGTCGAAGCGCAGGTGCAACACCAAATATGTAAAGTATGGACTTACATATTTTGACAACAAAAAAAGACTTAAAGCCTCAGTGTGTCATATGTCGTGAGGTGCTCTCACAAGAGAGCATGAAACCTTCTAAATTAAAACAACATTTAGAAACCAGACAACATGTTTTATTTACAGTTCAGTTTAGTTGATGGAAACGGAACCTTTCCTTACCCTAACCACTGTAAACAGTATTTGTCGTTTTTCGTTTGTAATATTTTTGAAATTTGATACATCTTGTTAAATGACAGCAATAAAATATTGTTTATTTGTAAGTCTTGGTGATTTTCTTATGATTTATCTGTCACTAGTGCATGTTAACAAATAAATACAAATTAATTATAATTCCTAAAATTGTAATATAGTTCCTTAAAATTTGGGTCGCAACCTGATGACCATGTAAAAACCAGTTGAGAACCCCTGACCTAGTGTATATGTGTGAATAAGAGTGTACGGGACGGGCATCTGCTGTGTAAAACATATGCTGGATAAGTTGGCGGTTCATTCCGCTCTGGTGACCCCAGATTAATAAAGGGTCTAAGCCGAAAAGAAATTAATGAATGAATGTTAAAATTGTCTAATTTTAATAATAATAATAATAATAATAATAATAATAAGTAATTGTGTTTTGTGTTGGGTCAACATCAAATATTTGTGTTGGTGCAACCATCTGGTAAGTGCAGGGACGGACTGGCCATCTGGCAACTCTGGCAAATGCCAGAAGGGCGGGACCATTTTTTAAATGTGACCAGTCAGTTATTTATTTTTTTTTTTTTATATATATATATATTTTTTTTACATGCATAGCTTTTATCTCTCGCAAGATGTGAATATGATGATGATGATAGTAATAATAATAATAATAAATGTTAAGGATTGATCCAATCTGCAACGGCCGGCTGGTTTTGAGATGTGCTGACCCAATTAGAGGCTATACGGATGTAATTAAATCTGGCAAGAATGTGAAACAATCAGTAAGTGCAACACAAGCTAACCGTCAGAGATGGACCGTAAAAAAAAGGAAAGGCAATGCCAGAAAGCTCAGAGAAACCAAAACATTGGCTCTAAAATCAGACACTGCCAAATGCATCAAATTAAATTAAATAGTCTCGAAAAGGGGCGCAGTGGTTAGCGCTGTTGCCTCACAGCAAGAAGGTCGCTGATTCGAGCCTCGGCTGGGTCAGTTGGTGTTTCTGTGTGGAGTTTGCATGTTCGCGTAGGTTTCCTCCGGGTTTCCATCACAAGTCCAAACACGTGCTATAGGTGAATTAGGTAGGCTCAATTGTCCATAGTGCATGTATGTGAATGTGTGTGTATGGGGGTTTCCCAGTGATGGGTTGCAGCTGGGAGGGCATCCGCTGCGTAAAACATAAGTTGGCGGTTCATTCCCCTGTGGCGACCCCAGATTAATAAAGGCACTAAGCCGAAAAGTAAATTAATTAATGAAATGATTGTATGTAAAAATTTGTTATAATTTGGTTGTTTTTATTTCAGTCACATACAATAAATGTTTAAATATCTAGTAAATATGGTACTGCTTATATTATTTCACCATCTGTACACTAATGTAAGTAGTGAATGTGATTGTCCGTGGATGGAGCTGTGTCGGTGTGGTAATGTGAGCTGGTGTGGCTTCAGTGCCAAGGCTGATTTTTAGTCTCAGACCACCCCTGGGTAAGTGGATGTATAATTTCTAGCAAGCATTGCATGGGATTGCATCAAGAGGCAATAGTATCTGGATGCAGCCTTTATGATGCAAGCTGAGACTGCATCACTGAACGATGCAATGTCAGACACAATGCACTCAAATGGAGCTAGTGACGTCACTGTGACGGGTAGGGTTAGGGGTGGGTTTAGGTGAGCCCGTTAAAAAGCATTGGATGCAGCCCAGATTGCACTGCACCAGGTCTGCAGCCAGACCCCTCTCTCAAGAGGGGAAAATGTTGACAATAAAACTAATCCTATGATTTTTAAGACAAAGACTGATTGTTCAGAGAGTGATTGTTCATTTAGTTTGAAGATTTAGAATAGTTTCAAGTAAGTTTTAAGGTTTCCGCCTTGCAGGAGAATAAAACACCTGCTTTGGGAGTTGGCAGATTTCTTTAATATTTATGTTTGTAGCTTCACTGAGTGAGCGATATCATTGCAAATGCTAGTTATGAGATCAGTCTTAGTTAACGGTAAGCTTTATTTCTACAGCTGTTATGTTTGAACTGCAATAAATAACAGACGATTCTGGCTGCAGATTAAAACAACAGTATGCTGTGTTCAATTCACAAGGTCATTCAAATGAAAGGGATTTGACATCCTCTTTTCAAAATTAAGTGTGTTCTTTAGTTCCATTTGCCCAAGATTGAAATAATGCAATTCAAATGAATGCAAATGTATGTTACATTAAGATGACGTTACACCAAAGATTTTATTGAGTGTATCCCACTGTTTAAAAGTTTGGGCTTGGAAAAAGTAAAATAAAGGGGTTGATTTAGAATCACACACACACTATACGCAGGGGTGCTCAATCCTGTTCCTGCAGATCTGCCCTCCTGCAGATTTCATTTTGCTATCCATATCAAACACATCTGAACCAACTAATTAGGACCTGAACACCACTTGATAATGGCAGGTGTTGTTTGACATGGGTAGCAACTGAAATCTGCAGGAAGGTAGATCTCCAGGAACAGGACTGAGCACCCCTGCACTATAGCAATACCACAAATAGCAAAAAATAACACTGATAGTTGACTGCAAAATAATTTAAGAATCAGAAATGACAATAAGAACTGACTTTGATAAATATATCAACAAAACGGTAGTCATTTTTTATATTGTACCATATACATAACGCTGGCCAATTCATAGACGATAGACTGAGCGCCCAGCTCGACCTCACTGATGAGTCCTGCAATGAAAGTGAAAACAAATTGACATAATACACTAATATTTACCTTCCATGTCAAATACTGTTTTGGCATGAATGAAAATCAATTCTATAATCAAGACTTTTTTTTTTCATACAATTCCACACTGTACTTAACCTTTTATAGGCACTCACTGAAATACTCATTACGGGGGTTTATTATAAGGCAATCTCGGTCCTAGAGGGCCGGTGTCCCTGCAGGGTTTAGCTGCAACTTGCCTCAACACACCTGCCTGGATGTTTCAAGTATACCTAGTAAGACCTTGATTAGCTTGTTCAGGTGTGTTTGATTAGGGTCGGAGCTAAAATCTGCAGGACACCGGACCTCCAGGAACAAGTTTGGTGACCACTGTTATAAGGGGTTAACACAGGGGTTTGGCTGTTTTAACACTGCTCCAGAACAGAGTTAACATTATTTTTGTGATAAGGCACCAATATACAGTGGGGATCAATTAGTAAAACCTTCTGTACAATTTTTTATTTATTTATTTAAAATTCTTAGTCCTTTCCTAACAGAGATAAAAGAGAAGTTTTTTATGCATATCATAGGTTACATCTATTCTGAAACACATGGTTTACCTCTTTCAGTTGAATAGTTTGTTTTGTATTTGAGAACATTGTGGATGAGGGCAGGATGTTTGGAAACAGTGCATCTCTAAAAATGTACAGTTGAAGTAACAATTATTAGCCCCCCCCCATTTGAATTTATTTTTCTTCTTTAAATATTTCCCAAACGATGTTTAACAGAGCAAGGAAATTTTCACAGTATTTCTGATCAATTTTTTTTGTTTTGGAGAAAGTCTTATTTGTTTTAGTTTGGCTAGAATTAAATGAGTTTTAAATTTTTTAAAACCCATTTAAGGTCAAATTTATTAACCCCTTTAAGCTATTTTTTTTTTCGATAGTCTACAGAGAAAACCATCGTTATACAATAACTTGCCTAATTATCCTAACCAGTTGACATAATTAACCCAGTTAAGCCTTTAAATGTCACTTTAAGCTGTGTAGAAGTGTCGTGAAAAAGATCTAGTAAACTATTATGTACCGTCATCATGGCAAAGATAAAAGAAATCAGTTAGAAATTAGTTATTAAAACTATTTTGCTTAGAAATGTGTTGAAACAATCCTCTCTGCGTTAAACAGAAATTGGGGGGGAAAAAATAAACAGGGGGGCTAAAAATTCAGGGGGGCTAATAATTCTGTCTTCAACTGTATTTCAAACTTTATTTTACCCCTAAACAGTATAAAAGAAATAAATAAATAAAACTAGAGCATTTCTGCCTTTAACCAGTCAATGTACTGTTTTTTTTTTTTTTTTTTCAAATTTGCTCAAGACATCTCGGATTATACAGTTATACAGTGTGAAACTTCATTAAATGTTAACCTGGAGTAAATTGTTAACACTGGGTAAATTATGAGCAGAGTGAAACATGAAGTAAGATAAACTATAGGATTAACTACTGTAGTTCAAGTGTGCAAAGCCATATAGTCTGCAAACCTGCCAGGAATCCACCAATCTCATATGTCCACCATTCAGCACAGAGCATGAGCATGCTGGGAAGAGCCAAGCGGATGAAGCTGCCCCATTCCTGCAGACAATCCCAAGACCAGCCTAATGGTGGGTGAGGAAGACAGAAATATTAACAGAATACATGTGAAAAATATAATTTCTTATAGAATAATAAACAATATAATTGTACAGTACCAGAGTTCTAATACCTTTTCCAAAGACAAATTTAAGCACTTTACAAGTGTGGCAAATAACATATTTTACATAAAGACTTCATCACATTCACATTATTTAAGATGCTATTTGTTACAGTATTCTATAGTATTTTATAGTATTGTTGATGGATGGATTGATTGATTGATTGATTGATTGATTGATTGATTGATTGATTGATTGATTGATTCATTCATTCATTCATTCATTCATTCATTTTCTTTTCGTCTTAGTCCCTTTATTAATCTGGGGTCGTCACAGCAGAATGAATTGCCTCTATAGTATTGTAGTGCTAGTAATAGTATTAAGTTTTTTTTTTATTTTTATAGACGCTAAGACTAATTTCTCCATACTTAGGTCACTTTTGTGTGAAACTCTTCACACCATGAGCAGAACAGAAGTCAATCTGGGCTAAACTTAGGATCAATTATCATTGTTTTGGCACAAAATGCATTCAATGACTCAGACACAACAACTGGCAAAAATCTTTGTACGTGCAGAGATCATAGGATTCGAGATCAGGTAGGTCTCGATAGTTCCACCTTTAGGGGAGGAAAAGGAGGAGATGGGGTGGAAGGGGGCATTCTTCCGAAATGAAGATAGGGAAAAAAGGAGAAAATTATCCATTTATAGTAAGCTAGGATCACTCGGATTGGATTATTACTGATTACAGATGAGTGACCAGCAGTGCTCAATCATATAACAGGCTCCTTTCGAAATTAGTTTATGAAACTTCACTTAAAGACGTTTCATACACTTAATCCAAAATTACAGGGTCACACTTTACAATAAGGTTAATTAGTTAATGTTAATTAATGCATTTACTAAGATGAACAAACAATGATCAATACATTTACTACTGTATTTGTGCATGTTAGTTAACGTTAGTTAGTGAAAACACAGTAGTTCATTGTTAGTTCATGTTAACTCATGGTGCATTAACTAATGTTTACAAGCATGGACTTGAATGTTAATAATGCATTAGTAAATGTTCAGTTGATTAATAAGTGCTGTTCATGTGTTGTTTATGATTAGTTCATGTTAGTAAATGCATTAACTAATGAACCTTATTGTAAAGTGTTACCAATTAAAGCACTTTTTAAACCTTGAAAATCCTTGAAAATAGCATTTTTAAAAAAACTGTAAAAAGCCTGTCATAAGCTAAATTATATCATACATACTATACTAAATTATGTCATAAAATATATTATTGTCTATGGAACTTTGGACTGTTATCCATCTTATTTTACATAATAAAAGTAGTTTATTTATTTTCCTTTTTTTTTTTTTTTTTTTTGCTTTTAATAAGCAAAAACAGACATTGGGTTTTGCTTTTGGTACTGTAAATAACAAGGAGTATAAAAAAAGTGCAGTTGATTTCAAACCATGTGTACCCTGAGTATAATAAAAAAATTAAGTAGTATGATACCATATATTGATATCAATCTGCAAAACAAATTATACTCTTTCATAGCTAATATAACAGGAAGCAAATGACACTCAAATGTTTAAAAAACCCATGCTAAAATTGCTTTTTATCATGCTTAGTTTTAAAAGACAAACATGGGATATAAGTCTTTTGGTCTTTTTGGTCAAACTAGTAGAGTTTGCTGTCAGGTGGCTCTCACCATCCCAGGTGGCTTTATGCAGACCCATACAACGAATGTATGTATAGAGAATCACGGCCAAGGAATACTGAGAAATAGCATTTGCAGCAGCAGATCCTCTGTGAACACATCAGACTGTCATACAACTGAGAGATGAATAAAGAAAACATGAAAATATGATGACTAAATATAAGCTAAATCAAATCTAGACAGCTTCTTACGGCACACCAAGATCAAGCAGATAAAGGAAGACGTAGTTTATTAAAGCATTGAGGATGTTCCCTGCGGCTCCTGTGATCACCTGAGGCCAGATAATACCCTAAACAAACAATACACATAAAAAAGAGCATCAGTGTAACAGCAATCTGTTTGGCACATCGACAAGAGCTTGGGTTTTATTCTCGAGGAGAGCATATAGGACTCAAAACAACAGAGATTATACCTGATTTTGAAGATATAATCCCTGTAGCTGATACATAAATGTAGCCTGTAGATTAAACAAATAAATAAAATAAAAAAACATTGGAAAATGTCAATCAATCAATCAATCAATCAATAAATCAAACAATCAATTAATTGAAAGAAATCTCTATTGCTCAACAAGTTTTTGAATACCAATGTTACATTAATTTTATTATGTTATTAATAAATATAAAATTAACATTTGATTTACAGCAGTTCTTCTGGTTCTTGAGTGTAATTGAGAGCCATGTAATAGTCTAGTGATAACAGGACTTCTACAACCCCTTCACCTTTAGCTTTCACTGTGAGCATCATAGTAGAGTACTGAAAGCACTAGAGTTTGGCAATACGACTGCATCACAATGTATTTTTAGAGATGTGAGTTTTAGAGTCACATTAGTGTAAACACTAAAAAAAAATAAAATAAAATAAAAAAAAAATAAGAACAAAATACAGACTGTTACATGGCACACTGGATCATTAATATGAATGCCCCTGGTGGCGTTTCATTAGCCACAATATTTCCTTGTGAGATTACAACAATTATTATTTTTTTCCTTATTTTTCATTTGATCTAAGCTTATATTGAATGTATTATGTATGTGGGACTCTTATTTTTGAAAACGGGACATGTAGGAAGAGTAAATAAGCTCTCAGTGAAACAAGCAGCCATGCGTCTGATCTGTTCACAGATCATAAGATTGCAGAATAAGGGATTTAAAAATGCATTCAGTGCCACCCAAAGAGGCACAAGGTCTATTTTAATATATATTTTGATAATTAAGTAAGTAAGTAAGGTGTATTTATATAGCGCATGTATTGTGTTAAATTGACTAAGTTATGAATACTAAAACAAAATACAGTTGAAGTCAGAATTATTAGCCCCTCTTCCCCCCAAACATATAGCTTAAAGGGGCTAATAGTTTTGTCCTTAAAATGGTGTTTAAAAAATAAAAAAACTGCTTTTATTCTAGCCGAAATAAAACAAATAAGACTTTCTCCAGAAGAAAAAATATTATCACTCATACCGTGAAAATATCCTTGCTCTGTTAAACATAATTTGAGAAATATTTAAAAAAGAAAGGAAATTCTAAGGAGGGCTAATAATTCTGACTTCAACTGTATATAAAAGCTGAATATAAACACTTACAAAAACTAAATTTAAATTGAAAGCCAATTTAAAAACATTTTCAAATAAACTGAAATAAATGCTCATTTCAAATAGCAAAACTACTCTGTGTTCCAAATTTGATTTAACTCAACACATTAAAGCAAACGCTTTAATAAATGTTTCTTTTGTATATAATTTCTTTGGCGAATCTGTTTAGCAGCTAGCATGATTTGAGGTAGATACAACATTTGAATACAGGTGTAAGTGATCCTATGAAAATGTGTCACTCACAGGCAGAGCAGGCATGAAAATTTTCACATAGAGCTGCGAAAGACTGCGAAGAGAGAGAGAGAGAGAGAGAGAGAGACAGAGACAGAGAGAGAGAGAGAGAGAGAGAGAGAGAGAGAGAAATAAGAGCTCACAAACATTTAACAAAACTTTACTGACACAAACTTTATGTGACTGTCACATGGCAACATGATGTGACATTATTTCTTATAACGCACTTCACAATACTTGCATCATGTAAATTTCTTAACACTATGTTTTATTAGCATATAGATTTTGCTAAACAAGCAAAATATCTAATGTAAGGGGGAGGTGGGAGAGTGTCTCTGATGGAAATGTCTGATTACAGTCTGTAACAATACATTTAAGAAATCTTTGAACAAGAATTGCATGATTATTTGTTTGCTTTTCACACACTTTGCCATGAAAAAGGCACACAAATTAACCAGTTTTCTCTTGTTATCATTGTCCAATGCTATTATTGTTAAATTAATCCTGATAAAATAATCCTATAACAAAATATGACCCTTTAGTAATGTAGTATTTTCAAATTGATTAAGAATTTCTATTTTGGTTTAAGAGTAAACCTAACATTTAATAGTTCACAGTCAGTTGTTTGCAAGACTGAAAAAGAATAATATATGTTAATTATATAAACTACAAAGCAGTTTGCGTTCTGTATTGGAATAAGCCACCCGTCTTCATCTGAATGCTTTTGTAAACATGTTATCTCAAATAATATCCTCGCAATTATTTTATGATTTTATTTTATGAGTTATTTTATAATTTCTAAATGATTTAGATTACTAATCTTATTTCATTTGTGTATTTATGCATTTCATTTGTACTGATTTATTTGCTTTTAACTGTTGGGTATTTTTTACTTCATGATTTTATTCATTCATTCATTTTCTTGTCGGCTTAGTCCCTTTATTAATCCGGGGTCGCCACAGCAGAATGAACCGCCAACTTATCCAGCAAGTTTTTACGCAGCGGATGCCCTTCCAGCCGCAACTCATCTCTGGGAAACATTCACTTACACACATTCACACACACACACTCATACACTACGGACAATTTAGCCTACCCAATTCACCTATACCGCATGTCTTTGGACTGAGGGGGAAACCGAAACACCTGGAGGAAACCCACGCAAAGGCAGGCAGAACATGCAAACTTTACACAGAAATGGCAACTGAGCCCAGGTTCGAACCAGCGACCTTCTTACTCTACTGCGCCACTGCCTCGCCACTTCATGAATTTAATTATTCGTTCATTTTAATAAAAAATAAAAAAAGTATTCCCCCCCTCAGTTTGAAATCCCCTCCATCTAATGTGTAAGATTTGAGTAAGAGACCTGGCCACATTGGGACTCTGTCGGACAGCCAGCAGGATGGGCTCTGTGTTGATGAGCAGCGCCCAGCAGGGGAAACATGCCAGCAGGAGGATGAGAATCCCTCTCTGCAGTATCACACCCACCCGCTTCAGATTATTACTGCCAAACGTCTGCAGGAGACACAATTTGATTGAATGACACTCGAGCACAGCTCACTCTCACATTACTGAACATTAACTATCAGACCTGAGAGATGAGCGTATCGCATGCAGACGCCAGTCCAGAGCCGATGGAGATGCCCGTCACATTGATAACCTGTCAGCAATAAAGATGCGTTTATGAATGTAATGAGTGATTTAGTGAAAGACAATATATATAAGTTCACTTGTAAACTCACAGCAATAGCCAGAGCCACACCGGCTAATTCAGTTTTCCCCAAGTGTCCACAAAACACAGTGCTGACGAAGCTGATCAGAAAGATCATCAGCTGAGAGATAAACTGCACGAAAAAAAATTAAATATCCAGTCAAGCCTGAATTTATTCATACCCCTGGCAAATTATTGACTTAAAATTAATTTTATTCAACGAGCAATTTTTTTTTTTTTACTTGAAATGACAAAGGCTTCTCCCAATAGATAAAAAGATGATTTACAAGAGGCGTTATTGTGAAAAATATATATATATATATTTCTCAGCTTTTCTTTACTTTCGAACAAAATGTGGCATGTCCAAAATTATCCATACCCTTTGCAAACTGTCTATAAAAAAATCCAAAGTTCTATACCATTCCAAATAGTCCAAGCTGTTCCTAGGCATTCTAATTAACTCGTTTCCTTGGGAACAGCTGTTTTGATCAACTCAACAGGTGAAAAACAGAAGCTCTCTGGTGTTGGTTTGTGGACAGTCATGGCTAAGACAAAGGAGTTTCAAGAGTTTACATTTAGCTCATGATTTATATATAGCTTGTTTGGCGTGCTGTCCCGGAAGTGAGCCCTGAGCTCAAGGGATCCTCGAGCCCAGAGCTCCCCACTTTCGCAGGGCGAGGGGAGATTGAGCTCAGGTCGATCTCAAACTCCCCCGCTGCTGAGGCCAAGGCGAACTTCCTGAGAGTTAGGCCCCGTTTACACTAGTGCAATTCAGTTTTAAAACAGCGTTTTAGAATGAAAACGATCCATGTCCACACTCGCGTTTCACCCAGCGTTTCTGAACAGCTCCCCGTCCACACCAAAACGCTGAAAACGCACATCACGTGACCACACACACTCTCTGGCATGCGCCGCAGCCTATCTAAAGCCAGATGAGAGCTGTGCTCGGAGTGCTCATCAAGCATCTCCCGCTGGATCTAATCTCACTATATTTGTTAAACGTGATATTTTATTGTTATATATACACACACACACACACACACACACACACACACACACACACACACACACACACACACACACACACACACACACACACACACATATATATATATATATATATATATATATATGTGTGTGTGTGTGTGTGTGAGTGTATAAATATATATATATATATATATATATATATATATATATATATATATATATATATGTATTTAAAGTCACAAAAGTTCAAATGTCGTGTCATAACCCCAGAATCATTGCATTTCTCTTTCAACGAGCATTTTAATGTGTCCTATAAAAAGTAAAATTAAACAAATTGTATTTTTTTGGATTAAACATTAAATGGTTACAAAATACATAGAAAAGTAAAAAAATAAAAAAAAACAATAACTAACTAAAAATACACAATACATTTTCCACTTTATCTACCTTACATTTAGCAACAGTTGTGACGTTGTCACAGTAATATTCAGACTTACCACCGGTCCAGCAAGTTTTAGCAGCTGCATTACTTCTTCTTTATAATTTACTGGTAACAATCTTCTGAGTTTTCTTAGACATTCAGCACAGATGCTTCTCGAAGTCAACTGAGCATCTTCAACTTTCTCCTCTTTTTGATATCCATTTATATGATCCTCTGTATGAATACTGTTCATTTCCATTTTTAAACTTAGTTCCCTGTGATCAAAAACATTAGTTAGCTATAAAACAAATACATATTCACACACAAAAATGTAAATATTAGATCAAACATACCTTAAAATGTCAGCCTTTTTAAAATGAAACCCTCTAAACACTGTCTGGCAGTAGCAGCTTCCTGTTGTAGTACACAAGGTTAGTATATAAACAGCAGTCACTGCATGTACAGATCAGGTTTCATTAAAGGGACCCCGACATCTCCCCAAATAACACCCACTGAAGGCTCCTCAGTGCACAGAGCAGTTTTTCATGTGGGGATAATAGTTGTGAGTTTTCTGCACATTTGCATTCTAGAAACATTGTGGTGCAGATAAGAAAAACAAAACAGGAGAATTTTATCTACAGCGTTTTTCCTTAGAAGTTCATATACTGTAGGCAACAAGCACTCCCTAAAAGACATTACGGAAAGATGTATTGATCCACTTTCATTATCGGTTGGCACAAAGCTGTGATCGTCTGTTCCTTCCTATTTGTGATGAACATCTTTATTTTGAAGCTAGGTTTGAACTTCAGCTGGTCATCTTGATAATGTGCACATGTTTAAATAGAGTTGCCGCTTTGTGAAGTCGAACTGAAGTCGAACTGGTGACCTATTATATGGGCAATTTAAGTTTGTATATGCAGAAATGAAATGGGCAGAAGAAAAGAAAGACTTGATTTGACTTTTGAAAACAGATGCAGAGTGCACATTGTTTTGTGCTTGATTAGTAAAATAAAAAACTAAATAATAATGAGTAAGATCTTGTTTTAGGCTTTTTCATTGAGATTATGTAGTTCTGCAAAGGTGCTTTTGAGTTAAGGGGGAAAAACTTTCTTGAAAAACAAGTGGATAGTTTATCCAAAAAACAAAAATGTACTCAATATTTACTCTCCCTTAAGTGATTCTAAACCTCAAAATGTTTCTTTCCTCTGTCTAACACTAAACTCAATATTTTGAAGAAAGCTGAAAACCTATAAACCATTGACTTCTAAAAACAAACACTAGAAAAGTCAATAGTTTCCAGTATTCTTCAAAATATGTCCAGCAGAAGAAATTTAATCAAGCTGGTTTGTGACAAGTAGGGCGAGTAAATAAATGATGACAGAATTTTTAGTTCTGGTTGAACTATCCATTTAAAATCTAACGCAAGTTTAATGATTCAATGATTTAATTAAAAAAAATAAACATAAAACATTGAATGCAAATATTTTCCTTAGACACTTAGCAGATGCTTTTATCTAAAGCCACGTACAATAAGGAAGGGATCAAGCGATTCATTGTAAAAAGAGTATACAACCAAATAAAACAAAGTTTCTAATATTGTTAGAAAAATATAAGCTTAAAAAGGGCCTGTTGAATGTTGCCAGGTATCCAGCAGTCCATCCCGGATTGGGTGATTGTTTCTTTTTTTTTTTCTTGAAGCATATAACTGACAAGCATACAGGACTATATGATAACATATGTAATAGTCAAACAAAACTTAGTCAGTGATGCAGAACATACATTAAATGAAAAATACTACATTACATAGTTGAAACCAGAAGTTTTCATACACTCTAAAAAAAGGACCAACCATTTTTCAATTTTCTGATGGTAAATCATACTAAGTTTACTATTTTAGGTCTGTTAGGATCACCTAAATGATTTACATTTGCTTAATGCCAGATTAATGAGAGATTTTTCATTAATTTCTAGACAGTTAAAAGTTTACATACATTTCCTTGCTATTTTTTTTTACTTTAGTCAAATGTTTTAGGTATCCTTCTCACAGAAGTTTAAAGGAATTTTAGCCCATTCCTCCTGAAAGAACTAGTGTAACTGAGTCAGATTTGTTGGCTGTCTTGCTCGCACAAGCTTTTTCAACTCTGCCCACAAATTTTCTATAGGATTGAGATCAGGGCTTTGTGATGGCCACTCCAAAACATTCACTCTGTTGTCCTTGAAGCACATTTTAACTAATTTGGCAATATGCTTAGGGTCATGGTCTGTTTGGAAGACCAATTTGTGGCCAGTTTTAATCTCCTGGCTGATGTCTTAAGATGTTGCTTTAGTATTTCTACATAATGTTCTTTCTTCGTGATTCCATCTATGCTGTGAGGTGGACCAGTCCCTCCTGCAGCAAAACAGTTCCACAACCTGGCCCCATACTTCATAGTTGGGATGGTGTTCCTAAGCTTGTAAGTTTTCCCCTTTGTCCTTCAAATGTAACACTAGTCATTATGGCCAAAGAGTTTAGTTCCATCAGACCACAGGAAATGTCTCCAAAAAATATTTTTCCCAGTATAATTAAGCAAATTGTAATCTGGCTACTTTTTTGATTCTGGTTTGTTGATTTTCCAATGTTGTCACGAAAGGAAGCAGTGTGTTTGAGGTTTTCCTTAAATACTATTCTACAGTTGTGCCTCCAATTAACTCAAACGTTGTCAATTAGCCAATCAGAAACTTCCAAAACCTTGACACCATCATCTGAACTTTTTCAAAGGCATAATAATCTTACTGTATGTAAACTTGACTTTGAAGAAAAGTTATAAATTTAAAAAAAAAAAAAAAATCTCTCTCATTATTCTGCTTACGCATAACAGAAACAAATGTGATAATCCTAACTTACCTAAAAGAGAAAAAGTTTATTCACATTAACATCTGACCTTTTTTTAATGGTTATGTGCCTTTTTATACAATGTATGTAAACTTCTAGTTTCAACTGTATTTGGGGGAATTCATCATATTTAAATAAATAGATTCTACAGATAAATGTATTTATTAGAGGTTTTTATAGCCTTTTTGTTTCTTGTACTGGAGGTAAAAGAATTATAAAATATTTTAAAATGAAAGGAGGGAGTAACAGACATTACCTTTGTTTTGTCTTTTGTATGTGAAACTTAGAAGAAAAAATATCAACTTCAAAGCATTATCAAGTGTATCATAGCCAGTTTTACAATTCAAAAAACAATCATGCATTCATAAAAAGTTAATTATTTTGGGGGATTGTTTCACTAGTGAGTAGGAGTAAACGGGAATGGGTTTTAAGAGTCTTTTTAGTGATGGTACCACAAGGGGGCACTCACTGGAGGGGATGGACTTTTTTTTTTTTTTTTTTTTTTTGTAATTTGCATGAATCCAGACTTTAGTTTTATGGAACTAATGTAAATGTCTTTTACTTTAAAGCCAGTTTTAGGCTACATTTACACAAAGATTTTCTCAAAAGCCGAAAAGTTTTCCCTTGCATAGGCCTGTCACGATATGCATTTTTTTTTCTCATCCAATACATTGCACTGAAATATAATGCAATAAACAATATTACTGTCATTTTAACACAACTCATTTTATAATGCAATAATGACAATACAATAACATCGTAAAGTACACTCTTCCAAAGAACACATAATATTTTATTATAAAGAATATTTATAGTAATTTTGACAATAATAATAATTAATAATTAGGCATTGAAATCAGAATTTAAAACATATTTTAAACAAATAAACAATCCATTCATTCATTTTCTTTTCGTCTTAGTCGCTTTATTAATCTGGGGTCGCCAAAGCGGATTGAAACGCCAATTTATCGGCTGGGTTTTTACGCTGCGGATGCCCTTCCAGCCGCAACCCATTTCTGGGAAACATCCACACACACTCATTCACACTCAGACACTACGGACAATTTAGCCGACCCAATTCACCTGCACCAGATGTCTTTGGACAGTGGGGGAAACCAGAGGATCCGGAGGAAACACACATGAACACAGGGAGAACATGCAAAGTCCACACAGAAACGCCAACCCAGCTGAGGCTCGAACCAGCGACCTTCTTGCTGTGAGGTGACAGCACTACTTACTGAACCACTGCGTCGCCACAAATAAATAATAACAATTACAAATGTTAACAAAAACATTCTATGTAAAAAGAACAACAACAAAAAAAAAAAAAGAGTATCAGATCAGTTGTCAGACACACACATGAAAATATACAATAGAAATTTATAGAAAATACTACACTGTTTTTAACCATACTAACAATACACATAAAAAGTTGGGGATATTGCCTTTTTTCGTGTGTGGACAATATATATATATATATATATATATATATATATATATATATATATATATATATTGCATCACCAAAAATGATTGAGGTCATGGCCATGTGTTGTTCAATTATTCAATATAGTGATTATTGTGACAGGCCTACCCTCGCATTTTTTTCACTTCTACACGTTTTCAAAATGATCCGCATTTACACAAAACTGTGAAATTTGCTAATAGTGCATCACATGAGACTGACCGTTTGTTCCCCCCTCGCATCTGTGAACAGCTATCAAAAAAGAGATATTGAAGAAGAGGAAGTTAGTTTGAGAACAAGATACGAAGAAGCGCAAATTTAAAAAAGAATAGTAATGATGTGCACAGATAAATCATCATAAGAGCTGCAATTTTCTAAAAATACCGATGTCATGAGACTTTTTGTTGTTTTTAACCTTCATTTTAGTTGTGTAATTGTGCATGAAAAAACAAACATTATTCTGTAAAGAATTATCTCAATCACCTCAGGCTGGATATTAACTTTAAATGCCGAAAGTGGGTTCAAATTCGAATTTTATTTTATTATTAGTCCAATATGAAAGGATTGCATTGTCTGACTAATAAGGTCCAGGAAGAGGAAGCCATTCAGGATGGATGTATGTGCTTTATTTCAGCAGCCACTGGAGGGCTTGCTTTTCCCACTTTCAGATTTGTAAAAGGCCTGTTGTGTTGGTTACACTGAAGAATGTGAGATGCTTGTGGACAGTGGAGTCTCCAATGGTATCTGAATGCAGACTTGTATATGCAAGCTGAGAAACACAGTCTCTCACAGTCTCAATATCAGACACACTACACTCAATGGAGGTAGTGATGTCACTGTTAGGGGTAGAGTTGAGGTGGGGTTATTTGTGGCCATTAAAAGAATTGCACGCAGCTCAGCTTACAGCTGCACCTGGTCTGAATCCAGACCCCTCTAAGAGTTTCTGTTTATAAAATTAAGTAACAGATTTTTTTTTTTAATCATTTTATTTTATGTTTATTTTTGTCCAAAATGTACACAAGCATAATAAACATATTTAATAACTGAAGCAGGTAACAAATGGAGTTCGAGCAAATAAAGAAATTTAAATCTGTAACTAATTAAATGTTTATTCACAAATTCATACTAGAACAGAAAAGTGTAATACAAATGATTTCACTCTCCTCTTACCTTCTTTTTACCGTTACTCTCCTGTCGCTCAAACACACTTAACATTATTGGCCTACAGAGAGCAGTGTGAAAGTCAAAGTCTGTTTGTAAAAATATCTAAAAGCCCATCTGAAAAGCTTGAGTCTCATTTGGAGGTGGTGTTGGCATGTGATGGAGCCTGTGGCTGCTGTTGTTGCTGCTGTTCCGCCAGCGCCTGCTGTAAACGGGTGCGTTTTCTGGAGTAATGCTGCCAGTGCAGGATCTGCTGTTCATCTATGAACTTGGCACACTGTGCGTTCACCAGCTCCTTCCGGAAGTGCTCATACTGCAACAGCTCCAACATGTGCAGACAATGAGGATATCTAGCATACACAAAGATTTAAACTGCGTTAGTGAAATATTTAGATCAATTCAAATTACATTAAAAAAAAAAAAGCTATAATAAATTATTAGCACTTTTGTGAAATTTGTATTATTTTTAAAGATTTTTCCCAAGTGATGTTTAATAAAACAAGGACATTTTTCATATTGATTCCTTTTACAAGTTTTATTTCTTTTAGTTTGGCTGGAATGTCAATATTATTATACCATTAAGAAATTGTTTTTCACTTATCTACAAAACAAAA